TAAATCCTCCGCGCCCTCACCTGTTACCCTCTTGGGATCTCCCCTCGGTCCTGGCGGCCTTGAAGGAGGAGCCCTTCGAGCCTCTGCAGTCAGTAGAGCTTAAGTTTCTGTCGTTGAAGACAGCGCTCCTCACCGCATTGGCCTCGGTCAAGAGGGTAGGGGACCTGCAGGCATTTTCGGTCGACGATTCGTGCCTAGAATTCGGAACAGGTAACTCTCACGTTGTCCTGTCACGGATATGTGCTCAAGGTTCCCACCACACCTTTTAGGGATCAGGTGGTGAACTTGCAAGCGCTGCCCCGGGAGGAGGCAGACCCAGCCATTGCTCTGCTCTCTCCCGTTCACGCTTTGCGCACTTATGTGGACCGTACGCAGAGCTTCAGGACCTCAGACCAGCTCTTTGTATGCTTCGGAGGACAGCAGAAGGGAAAGGCTGTCTCCAAACAAAGACTTGTCCACTGGTTAGTGGAGGCTATAGTTTTAGCTTACCAGGCCCAACGGTTACCATGCCCCCTCGGAGTGAGAGCTCACTCTACGAGAGGAGTGGCATCTTCTTGGGCATTGGCGCGGAGTGCCTGGATAGCAGACATCTGTAGAGCTGCCGGCTGGCGACACCTAACATGTTTGCGAGATTCTATAATCTCCGTGTAGAGCCCGTGTCCTCTCGTGTACTCGCCTCAGGTAGGCAGTAACACCGGACCCGCTCGGTGTCGATCAGGCTTGCTGTGCCAGTCCCCTCTACGGACCAGATACGTGCGCTTTTTTGCTTCTCAGTTCAGTTCCCCATGGCGAACCCTGTTGGAGTTCCTCCCACACCCTCGGTGGTCAGGCGTAGTGGAGCGCCAGACGCCAGGCTCAGCACTCAGGTGCATGCCCAAGGTCAGCCCTTGTGCTGGGCTAGGTGCCCTTGTGTAGTGATTCCCCCTTCGGGTGATCCCACATGTGTACTCTTCCACGGTACGGCTCCCCTCACGGTAAGCCCGTGTCTTTCCCTGGCAGTCGTTCTCTGCCATCTCTGCTGTGTAGTCATCTCACCCCAGGCGGGTTGAGTCTACCGCAGGGACTTCCATATGTAGCACTGCCCTGGGCCAGTCCATATGTGTATTCCACATGATACCTCCTTTCCATTTTCCATACAGATCCCAATTCGTCAGTCACGACTGACGTAACGTTGAACGTGACTGACTGAAAGGGAACGTCTCGGTTACTTGTGTAACCCTCTTTCCCTGAACGTTACGTCCCATCGCCACAGTTGCTGTACCACCGCTATACGGCCGGGGTGCAAGTCTTGGCTCCTCAGCGAAAAACTGATGTGCGTTTGCACGCGCTCTCCTTTTATACTCGCGCTGTGGGGCGGGGTGCACGTGGCGAAACACGCACGCCAACTGTCATTGGCTTGTTTAGTTAACACTCGAAGGTGATTGGGCTCTCGGGCGAGATCCCAATTCGTCAGTCACGACTGACGTAACGTCTCCATTCCCTCCTTCAGGGAACGAGGGTTACACAAGTAACCGAGATGATCTGTGATATATAATGTGTTGTTACAAATATGTGATATTATTTGAAAGCATGACAGCCAAGCTTTTATTTTATTTTATGATATAACTTTAATAGTAATGATAATACTATATCTTTCATAATAGTGAGAACTAAATAATGATATTATAATATAATGTAAATAATAATAATTACAACTAAAATGCAGAATCTACATCAGGGTTATTATAGTTTACTAAACACTAAAAACTGTTACTTAAAATAAACTTTAACTGAAATAAAATAAAATCGAATAAAAAAAATCTTAAACATTTTTATTTGAACTGGATGACAATACAGCATTTCTCATTTTGCTAAAATAACTACAATTAAAACTGAAATAAATATTAACAAAAACGATATACATACACATAAAAAAACGAATAGAAATGACAAAACACAACAAAATTACTACTAAAACTCTAACTGAAATTAAAACGAAAACATAAAATATAAAAAAAAAAAAAAAAGTTATAATAGTATCTCAATTATGCTAAAATGACACCGATCCACATATGGATGAACATTTTCATAATAAACTGAAGAATTATCTGGGACGTGTTCCTCAGGGGCAGGGGCTAAAATTTTAATTAGCCATGTAAAAAAAAAAAAACAGTTTGGATACATTACTATTTTATGTTTTTGCAATAAGTAATTTATGGTCATCAAGCCTGCATTTATTTGACCAAAAGTTTAATATACTTTAAAATATATTTTATTTCTGTGATGCAAAGCTGAATTTTCAGCATCATTACTCCAGTCTTCAGTGTCACATGATCCTTCAGAAATAATTCTGATATACTGATTTATTATCAATGTTGGAAACAGTTGTGCTGCTTATTATTTTTTTATAACCTGTGATACTTTTTTTCAGGATTCTTTGAATAAAAAGTTAAAGAAAGTACAGCATTTATTTAAAATATAACTTTTGTAACAATATACACTACCGTTCAAAAGCTTGAGGTCAGTATTTATTTATTTATTTTTTAATATTTTAAAGTATATTAAAATAGAAAAAAAAACATTATTTTTAATTGTAATAATATTTCACAATATTACAGTTTTTTCTGTATTTTTGATTAAATAAATGCAGGCTTGATGAGCATAATAGACTTTCATAATGCTGCATAATTATCAAAAATGGTAATACAGGTGCATCTCAATAAATTAGAATGTCATGGAAAAGTTCATTTATTTCAGTAATTCAACTCAAATTGTGAAACTCGTGTATTAAATAAATTCAATGCACACAGACTGAAGTAGTTTAAGTCTTTTGTTCTTTTAATTGTGATGATTTTGGCTCACATTTAACAAAAACCCACCTCACAACCGATTTATGAATAAGAATGGAAAATTACTGCTCCACTTCACATTGTCCAATGAAATTTGAACTTATTGTGCCAGATCATGATTGGTTTGTGTATTATACAACAAACTGGCATTGATGAATTATGTAATATTCTAAAAAATATATAATATATAGATTTTTTTAATTAAATCGACACACAATAGCTTTGATTATTGATGAAAATAAAAAAAATGAAAAAATATTTGGTTTAATTTTTCCTTCCGTCGACCCATAGGCACTCACTGAAAGAACCATATACGGCTCGAGAGCCTAGGATTCCGAACAGACTGTAGCAATGCCTGTTTTGTACACATTGTCATGTTAATTTTAATTGCATTTTGTTTTATTGACCGCAACCCAGATAGCACACATACGTCTGCTAGATGTCTGTTTAAGATCACTTCATGTGGAAAGCATCTGCTGTGTACAAACATCTTATAGACATCTTTCAGACATCAGTTTTACATTCTAAATAATAAACATCTTAAAGACATGCTGTATTTCATACAGCCTGACAGTCTGTTAAAGGGATACCCCACCCCAAAATGAAAATTCTGTCATTAATCACTTACTCCCATGTCGTTCCAAACCCGTAAAAGCTTCATTCGTCTTCAGAACACAATTTAAGATATTTTGGATGACAACCAGGAGGCTTGTGACTGTCCCATTGACTGCCTAGTAAATTACACTGTCAAGGTCCTGAAAAGTATGAAAGACATTGTCAGAATAGTCCACCTGCCATCAGTTGAAGAAAACAAAAATAACGATTTTATTCAACAATTTGTCTCCTCTGTGTCTCTCCGCATCACCATAGCACCATTTTGGAGAAAATCCACTGAACGCAAGCAGCGTACGCTATTCTATGTCAGCTGTGCTGCACGGATGCGCTGGTTTCGTTCAAATCAAAGCATAAATATACGTAGAAAATGTATCCTTGTGTCGCGGCTGACACAGAAGAGCATACGCTGCTTGCGTTCAGTGGATTTTCTCCAAAATGGTGCTATGGTGATGCGGAGAGACACAGAGGAGACAAATTGTTGAATAAAGTTGTTATTTTTGTTTTCTTCGCGTACAAAAAGTATTCTCGTCGCTTCATAATGTTACGGTTGAACCACTGATGGCAGATGGACTATTCTGACGATGTCTTTCATACTTTTCTGAACCTTGACAGTGTAATTTACTAGGCAGTCAATGGGACAGTCACAAGCCTCCCGGTTTTCATCCAAAATATCTTAAATTGTGCTCCGAAAACAAACTAAGCTTTTACGGGTTTGGAACGACATCGGGGTGTCGTGTCCCTTTAAGCTCATGAATATTAATAATTGTCTGTGTTTGCCCAAAATGATTTGCTGAATTAAAACGCGGGCTGAGTAAATGGGTAAACTGTCTCTTTAAGAATTTTTCCCCTTCCATTGACTTTCTTCAAGTAATTTTTTTTTTTCATTTGAATTTCATTTACCAATACAAAATTTGTTTTAAACCAAAGGTCTGCATGCAAATACGATGTATGTGCTCCATTGGTTTGGAAAGCACTCTTCTATACTGCTCCGAAGTGCTTTCATGATACCAAACTTTCAGCTGTTTATATCAACAACCAGGATACTGTCATTTCTTCCCACATCAATCTCTGCCCTGCTGTTTATCTCCGTCACTCACTGTGTTCAAGGTCAGCGCTGGACGTGTTCTAAATTCCGCTGCGGTGAGGAGCGTTTGCTCAACAGCCTCTGCTCCTGTTCTGAAGACTGTGTGAAAGTGGGTGACTGCTGCTCAAACTACAAGAGCATATGTGAAGGTACAAGACATGCTTTGCTCTGCATTCCATTCTCATCAAGTAGCTACATAACGTGTTATTTGTCATTTATGTTGTATAAATGAAAATAGATATTTTGGGTTGTCAATAAAGACATTTTGGTTGATAAAATCCCATAATAATGGTTGTATAAAATCCTTAAGCTGGTTAGGTTTACGATTTCGCTTTGAACAGACATGTAGGCCTATCTGTTTCATCGAAAGGCTCATAAGTGTCTGTGAAGTTGTGATGGATCTGGAGGATTTGTCTTTGAAGTTATTTGGGCCTGGAGTTCATCTGCCTTCAGCTGGACAGAAAACAGTGAAACTTCCCTACATGGTGTTTTCATAGCCATTTGTTTTCCTTTTAAATGTTTTCACAAATGTTCAGTTGATTATTTCAGGTCACTTTTTGGGTGTGGTTGGAGGATATAGCTTCACTATTGTTTTATATTAGTCATAACATATTTACTCCAATAAATAGGTTTATTTTTGAAAGTCAGTTTCTGTATAGGATCTTAAAGTCTTTGCAATAAAAGCATTACAATTTTCAGTTGTATTACATTGTAAAAAAGATACAGTTTATGTAATACATTTATGTTGTCACACTATATATAGCAAGTTGTCAAACTGGGAACCTGCCATTAAATAACCATATTTCAAAGACAATAGAAGTCATTATGAAATTACATTTATAGATGTACTTAAAGTGATAGTTCACCCAAAAATGAAAATTCTGTCATCATTTACTCCCTCCCATGTTGTCCCAAACCTGTATGAAAAGACACAAAAGAAGATATTATGAATAATGTGGGTAACCAAGCAGTCGCTGGTCCCCGTTAACTTCCATAGTACTTTTTTTCTCTTTCTATAGAAGCCAAAATATCTTCTTTTGTGTTCAACAGAGTAAAGAAATTCATACAGGTTTGGAACAACTTGAGAATGACTAAATGATGACTGCATTTTAATTTTGGGGGGGACTATCCCTTTAAGCTCTACTTAAGTGGGTCAAAAAGTAGAAATAATAAAACTGTAAAGTTCAGATAATTGCATTTAAAATAATATACATTTTTTAAATTGCGGTTAACATGCATTTAGGTATTTGAAAACGTTACATAAACCAACATAAAAATGCTTCTATAGAAAACAAGCATTTGTAAAATTGACTGTTGACTCAAAACATTTGGTTAATGAAATACAGCCCTTGTGACAAAACAAAAGAAATATTTGGCTATAGTTGAAAGCACTGCATCTGCTCTTTGAATCCTCTGAAAACATAAATTGTTCACATATGATGTGTGTTAAACACAATGGGGATTTAAGCTTTCACATGTTGGCTGTGTTAACTCATAATTACACTAGCTGTCTTACTTCAGTATTGCTTATGTACACAATCACAGCCATGTTTGTTCCTGCCTGTGCATTAGCCAGTGACAGCTAATTACTATCACTTGACAAAAGCTGCCTGGACTCTGACAGTTGTATCATTAGAAGACTATGATGTAGTTCCAGTATGTTTTGTACCTTCATTCCAGATTGATTATGTTTGCATGCATGTGTGGTGTTCTTGTCTTATCAAGGCCAACGTTTGCACCCTCTCCTGCCTTTGAAAAGTGAACTGTTCCTCATCGGCCTTTCATTTTTCTTTCTCACTGTTTAATCGATGGAAACTTTATCAAATTGGACACTGAAAGAAGAAAACACCTGGGCTGTATTTCGAGTTACTATTAATACTTCTTTCTCTTTGTTTTTTTCTCCACAGGTGAAAAACCTTGGATTGAAGAGGATTGCGAGGACATCAGGACTCCTCAATGTCCTTCTGGGTAACGGACTTATGTTTATAATTGAGATGGCTCTATATCAAGATCGCAATCAGGTTAATATACATAACTCGACAATTAGAAATTAGCATCTCCTTCTGTGGTTAATGAGACTTTATTGGTTTTCTAGGCACATTGTGTTGGCCACCACATTCCTTTGACAATATGGTGTTACCAACAATATTTGTTTCCTTTGAGAACGTTACCGCTGGCTGCATCTGAAAGCTAAGACAGCTGCCTTACTGCAAATTTAGCCAAAGACTTCACAGGCAGTGGTTTTGTATGAGGGAAACTGGTTTCAGACAGACTTCTGTTATGTCTAATGGTCTTAAATAAGTTTAAGTTTCCAAAGAGGATCTTGTTGTTCATTGGAAGGAACTCTGACTCTTTGCACAAAGGAGCTCACCTGGTCAGTGTCACTAATGCACTTGTTTGATTAGTGGTCTAGAAATAGCATTCATTTTTTATCATAACAATTCTTTCTTTTAAATTGTCTGCATCCTAAAACTTTGTCTTTCTGAGTTTAAATGAGATTTTAAATCACGTGTGGACTCAGACTTTTAAATGGCACTGTATATGAATGCATCTGTTAAGATGCACAGAGAGATGTTTAGGCGTGTTTGTGTGTTTATGTCTGACTCTGGGTAAATGCACTGTGTGGTCAGTGTTGTTTTTCCATTCGCTATAATAAACATACTCTGAAATACATTCAGCTTTGGCCATAATGGCATTCGCTGGCGTAAACACAAAGAGACAACTTAATGAGCCATGTTATTATTTTTTTTTTTAATGCTTTATGGGAGTTGTGTGTAAGCAGGCAGGACTGTTACCATAACTTTGTAGTGTTGCCATTACAGAGTTAGACATCTACAGTAAGGTAAAGAGTCTATTTAATCACTAATGCAAAATCAGATAAAAGCTTTATGAGAAAATTAGCATAAATAGAAAATACATTTAATAATTTTACAATTTAGAGCATGCATGATGCAAGCTTGTTTCTTATTGAGAGTTTTTGCAGTAATTCAAGACCGTGAAATAAAACATGCTCTTCCCCGTTGGTCTGGTTGGTGTATTTGGTGTTTTGGGTGTGACAGGTTGTTTTGGGCTAGAAGACATACATCAACATCTGCTGTTCTCTGGGTGAAACCCTGCTCAAGTTTCCTATAGCTATTTTTATCCATAGGTGCTTCAACCGAAAAAGGAAGCTACTTTTTCCATGGCATGAGAAGCATTTCTAAAAACTGTCATCTTTTCCTGTAGGTTTTCTAAACCGCCACTACTTCTGGTGTCTCTGGATGGATTCAGGGCAGGATACATGAAAGCGTACAGCAGCCAGCTTCCTGTCATCAGCAAACTCAGTACGTCACATTCACTCAGAGTCTGTCCCTGGCCGTAGAATTAGATCTGTCATATCTGTTAGAAGAACATTTGTTTTTCGGCTGTTTTCAGAGAGAAGTGGTACATTTGTCTTTTATAAATCCGATAAAACTAAAGACTCTTCGGAGATGCGAAGGATGCAATAGTACTCTATAGGTACTCAAGATTAATTTGAGATTGGCAAAAATTGTGTGTTATGTCGTCTTTAAAATCTCTTAACATTTAGCATTCTGTTTAAAAAATGAATCAAATGTCAGCTAAAAAAAGAATTGGTGTATTAAAACCAACAGAAACATCTCTTCATAGTGTCATGTAGGATGAATTATAATACTCACTGTACTATAGACCTGTTAGTCTAAATCAGTGGTGCTCAACTCTTTTTGTCTCCAAGGCCCCCCACTGTCCACAACAATTTAATACAAATAATTAATACAAAAGATGTAACTCCAGAATTCCAAAAATGTTAAGACCTGAATGTCCTTCAGGCATCTCACTCTTTTAACTTGTGAATTTATATGTATTTTCTATTCATTCGTGATTTACTGGAATAGGATTAAGGATTTTTTAAATCAATTATTATTATTATTATTTTAATGTTGTTTACTCACAAATTTTACCTGATAAAATGTTTTATAGGTTGGCATAACTAGCATAACTATTAAAATCCCCTTGGCATTTTAAGATTTTAATAATTTACATGACTTTTCAGGTCTATAAATCATATTTTTAAAATGAGCTACCTCATATATACATATTTTCCCAGTTTTATGGTTGGTTTGTCTTATTTTAAATCATTTTAAGTCATCTTAAAGCACCTTTGGAAGGTTTCTGAAGCTCACTAATGGATCCTGGCACCCTGGTTGTGAACCACTGGTTTAAACTAGTCTAAAAACTGGTTAAGATTCTGTGGTTAATCTCATCTTGTCTCTTCAGGGAAATGTGGGACCTCTACACCATATATGCGACCTGCTTATCCCACCAAAACCTTCCCAAATCATTACACCATAGTGACAGTAAGTGACAGAAATGAAAGGGTTAGTTCACCCAAAAATGAAAATTGGCTTGTTTTACTCACCCTCGAAGCATCCTAGGTGTATATGACTTTCTTCTTTCAGACGAATCCAGTCGGAGTTATATTAAAAATTGTCCTGGCTATTCCAAGCTCTATCATTGCAGTCAGCGGGTGTTGCAGTTGAACAGTCCACAAGTCGTCAAATAAAGAGCGCGCATCCATAATAAAACGTGCTTCACACAGCTCCAGGAAGTGAATAAAGACCTTCTGTAGTGAATCCATGTGTTTTTGTAAGAAAAATATCCATATTTCAAACGTAATAAACACTTTTCTCTCACTTCCGCCAACTGTCAATTTTTTAATATAACTCTGACTGGATTCATCTGAAAGAAGAAAGTCATATACACCTAGGATGCTTCGAGGGTGAGTAAAACACAAGCCAATTTTCATTTTTGGGTGAAATAATCCTTTAAGCCACAATTGCTCTTGAAGAACAAAACGTATGAGTCAAAATGTATTGACAGTTATCAGTTTAGTAGACCGTTTTTATGGGTTTGATTTGAATCATTTACTATTTACATCAGTGTGACGGTAAGACTATCAGTTTTAATAAGTGTTAATTTTGGAATCTGATTTGAACTCTCCATCTTATTTTTTGAACCTCAGTAGTTCTGCCACTCCTTTTTTTTGTGCAGTTCCTATGACAAAATGGTTAACTTATTCAATTACTGTTAGTTCCAGTGGTTGCTTTTCAGACAATACAAGTTAATTTGCTTTGTTTTCATAAAATGTTTTTCGTTTGCAGGGTCTATATCCAGAATCCCATGGAATTGTGGACAATAAGATGTATGATGTCACTCGCAATGCCTCTTTCAGTTTGAGAGCTGATGAGAAATTCAACCCTGCATGGTACCAGGGTGAACCAGTGAGTATATGCACACACATGAAGCTTAAAAATCAATGCACACAGTTTTAAGACATCTTCAGTAATTATAGATTTGAGATTATCTTTTTAATAAAGATTAGGGAATTGTTTTGTGAAATCTTTAAATTCAGTTCAAATCCCCTCAGTTATTTATTTTATTTTATTTTATTTTATTTTATTTTTTGAAAGGTCTGGATGAGTAATTTAACTGATTACTGATTTGCTAGCATTTGGTGTTTAAATGTTAAGATAATTAACCATAATTAAGTATCATATTCTAATGGAAATGTAGTTTATTACCGTTAGTAGTTACCTACTGTACATTACATTAAAAAATTCACAACAAGATAAAAACGCTACTTGTCAGGATCCAACACTCTTGTTTAGTTTTTATTCTACTGTTAGTGTCGGGATCCCATCACTTGTGTAACACATTCTGTTTTTGGTTCTGTGTTGTGTCTTATGGGTTTCGTTTCTGGAGCATAATGTCAGGATCCTGGCGTTTGTGTTTATAATCCTGTGTGGGATCCAGGCACCTACTGTATGCTCCAGAAACAAAACCCACATGACCTCAGTTTATGTCTGTTGGCCATGTGCTCCTCTGACTCTGCTCTCTCGTTTGCCCTGTCACTAGTTTATTTGTCAGATGTGATTTTATTTCCTATATATACTCTGTCCTGTGCTTGTTGGTTTTGTGTGTGTTTTCCTGTGCTCCAGTCTGTGCCGTTTTGGTCCTGTCTGTAGGTGAGCACTGTTTTCGGGTTGTTTCCACCAGATTGTTTGTTTTGCTTTGTTCTACCTTAGAACAAATAGTACAAAAATTCACAACAAGATAAAAACGCTACTTGTCAGGATCCAACACTCTTGTTTAGTTTTTATTCTACTGTTAGTGTCGGGATCCCATCACTTGTGTAACACATTCTGTTTTTGGTTCTGTGTTGTGTCTTGTGGGTTTCGTTTCTGGAGCATAATGTCAGGATCCTGGCGTTTGTGTTTATAATCCTGTGTGGGATCCAGGCACCTACTGTATGCTCTAGAAACAAAACCCACATGACCTCAGTTTATGTCTGTTGGCCATGTGCTCCTCTGACTCTGCTCTCTCATTTGCCCTGTCACTAGTTTATTTGTCAGATGTGATTTTATTTCCTATATATACTCTGTCCTGTGCTTGTTGGTTTTGTGTGTGGTTTCCTGTGCTCCAGTCTGTGCCGTTTTGGTCCTGTCTGTAGGTGAGCACTGTTTTCGGGTTGTTTCCACCAGATTGTTTGTTTTGCTTTGTTCTACCTTAGAACAAATAGTACAACCAAATTAAGAGCAGACTTGCATAAAAACTACTATTCATTTTGTCTTTAATCATTTATAAATTATATATAATTGCCTATGAAGGATGGAAGTGAAAAACGCCTTATATTCAGGTGTGCATAGTTATTAAGGAGGTGTCAAATGGTTCAGGTCATACTTAGAAGGGAGAGGTTATTATGTGAGTATAGGAGCGCATAAGTCTAAGTGGACATCCATGACATGCGGAGTCCCACAAGGCTCAATTCTTGGACCGCACTTGTTTAGCCTGTATATGCTCCCACTAAGTTAAATAATGAGAAAGAACCAAATTACCTATCACAGCTATGCTGATGATACCCAGATTTACCTAGCCTTATCACCAAATGACTACAGCCCCATTGACTCCCTCTGCCAATGCATTGATGAAATTAACAGTTGGATGTGCCAACATTTTCTTCAGTTAAACAAGGAGAAAACTGAAGTCATTGCATTTGAAAACAAAGATGAAGTTCTCAAGGTGAATGCATACTTTGACTCTAGGGGTCAAACAACTAAAAATCAAGTACTGATCAAAATCAGTAACTAAATCAGCATACTATCATCTCAAAAACATTTCCAGTCAAGACTTGGAGAAACGTGTTCATGCCTTTATCACCAGCAGGGTAGACTATTGTAATGGTCTCCTCACCGGCCTTCCCAACAAGACCATTAGACAGCTGCAGCTCATCAAGAACGCTGCTGCCAGGACTCTTAACTAGAACCAGAAAATTTGAGCATATCACACCAGTCCTCAGGTCCTTACACTGGCTTCCAGTTACATTTAGGATTGATTTTAAAGTACTTTTACGCGTTTATAAATCGCTCAATGGCCTAGGACCTAAATACATTGCAGATATGCTCACTGAATATAAACCTAACATACCACTCAGATCATTAGGATCGAGTCAGTTAGAAATACCAAGGGTTCACACAAATCAAGGGGAATCTGCTTTTAGCTATTTTGCCGCCTGCAGTTGGAATCAGCTTCCAGAAGAGATCAGATGTGCTAAAACATTAGTCACATTCAAATATAGACTCAAAACTCATCAGTTTAGCTGTGCATTTATTGAATGAGCACTGTGCGATGTCCGAACTGATTGCACTGTATTTTATGTATGTATAATAATTTTCTAATTTTAACTGTCTTAAATTCATTTTAAATACATTTTTAAATCATCTTCAAAGTTTTTAAATTCCTTGTTTTATTTTTGTGATTATTATTTTTTTATGATTATTTTACTTTCTTTTATGTAAAGCACTTTGAATTACCATTGTGTACTAAATGTGCTATATAAATAAACTTGCCTTGCCTTGCCTAGTCCTTTAAAGGTGGCCATCTTGCCCACTAGCTTCCTCGCAAGGTGACCTGGGAGTGGTAGTTCTTGACAAGATGCAATCTTGTTCCAGCCATCTTAGAGCAACGTATCTTCCCTCTAGCACATACCCTCTAATGATGCCACATACCCCCCACTCCTCATGGTTGGCTGGCATCTGTGAAGAGAACATCTTTGTGAGAGAGGGCATCAGCATTTCCATGGCATTGTCCTGGCCTGTGGAAAACAGAGAAGTGAAGTGCCTGAAGACTCAAAATCTATCTAGTTATTCTCACATTGCTGTCCTTATTCTGGGCAATCCACTGCAGTGGGGCATGGTCTTTATTGATACAACCCCTCCCCCCCCCAAACTAAAAGGCACTATTTCTCAATTGTGGCATTATTTTTTTCATGCTTGGCCAATTTCCTACTGATGTAGAGTACGGGATGTTCCTCAACTTTATGTATTTGAGAACGGACTGCACCTAGACCCACCTCAGAGGCATCAGTCTGTACCAATAATTATTTTGTGAAGTCTGGGGATTTCAAGATTGGACTGGAACACAACATCCTCTTTAGTTTCGAGAAAGCCTCCTCTGGATCTTTGCTCCACCTTACAATTCTTGAATGTCTGTTAGTAGTTAGCTTAGAAAACAGGCTTGTGAGGTCCTTTATGTCACTTTGGAGCATCGGTAGTCATGCAGTTGCCCGCTGCATTCTTCACCATATGTGGCAGCATGAGAGGTTGTGGGTCTTTAACTTGTGTAGTTTTTCAATAAACACGGCTTCAACTGTCTCCTCAGCATGCAGATGAGGTTTAATAATCAAACAGAAGGTCTCAGGTTTACAACTTAAATCTCTTCAGCACAACCAAAATAACTTAATCTTATTTACTTCTCCCAACACCAGTGGTGTGTCTTTTTCTGCCACACCACCATATCTTTTTTCCTCCTCTCTGACCATGCTGCCAGTCTTATTCTAGTTGCAGCTGCAACTGTATATATATTGGAGATTTTCTTGTTATGTTTCATATTTTCGCAGTAAAGATATGGTGCATTGGAAAAAAGGTCTTACAAATGACTGGTGCAACCTCCCCTGTTTGAACAGGACAACCTGAATGCATAACTGTTCAAGGCAGACCCAGAGCTTGCAGCTAAGATGCTTCTCCCGCTTTTTACAGCAATATGAAAAGAAAAAGAGATACAGACAGACTGGTCAAAAGGCATCATTGTGAGGATCCCCAAGAAAGGAGCCCTTAGCAGCAACAACTGGCGGAAGTGAAGAGATTGGCAAGATCAGACAAAAAAGCGTTCATGGATAACCTTGCAAGCCAGACTGAAGAAGCAGCTAGCAGGGGAGAACAAGGAAAGGTATATAAAATAACCAAGGTAATCTGTGGCAAATATTGTGGAAGTAAAGACGCACCAATCACAGACAAAAATGGGCAATTGCTGACATCAGAAACATAAATTGACTCTCGCTGGGCTGAACACTTCTGCGAGGTCTTGAACAGGCCACCACCAACATCAGAAGTTGACATTCAGGAAGCGGCGCATGATCTGGACATCAATACTGCACCAGCAGAGAAGGAAGAAATCATTGGAAACATAATGTCCCTTAAAAACAGGAAAGCCCCTGGACAGGACAACCTGAATGCATAACTGTTCAAGGCAGACCCAGAGCTTGCAGCTAAGATGCTTCTCCCGCTCTTTACAGCAATATGAAAAGAAAAAGAGATACAGACAGACTGGTCAAAAGGCATCATTGTGAGGATCCCCAAGAAAGGAGCCCTTAGCAGCAACAACTGGCGTGAAATAACTCTTGTCCATACCAAACAAGATCCTAGCAAAAATCATAATCCAGCAGCTATCGGATGCAGTCAACCAACATCTCAGAAAAGAACAGGCAGGGTTCTGGAAAGGAAGAGGCTGTACAGATCAGAATTGTGTACTGCGGAACATCATTGAACAGTGCACAGAATGGCAGAGGCAACTATACATCAACTTTGTAGATTTTGAGAAAGCTTTTGACAGCATCCACATAGACAGCCTTTGGTGCAACCTACATTAATATGGAATACCACAAGATATCGTCCTTCTCATCAAAAGCTTCTACAACAGCTTCGAAACAGCGACCATCGTTTCCATGTGAAGACTGGAGTGAGGCAAGGCTGTGTGATGTCAGCATTCCTTTTTAACATTGCCATTGACTGGGTGATGCATTTTTATGAGTCTTTGTCTGTAAGCATGGTATTTTGCATATGTAATTCGCTGGAGTGTTGAGGCACAAATTAGTACCGATTCTTAGAACATCAATATGTTGCATAGGTATCAGCATATAATATACACACTTGTTTCGATCATAGGAAGGCGAATTCATAGATACTAGACATGAAATAGTTACTTATATGAATGTGTGGTTTATCGTAAGCACGGATAAAAATAGTCTATAATACAACAGATTAAATACAACACAGCAATAATATACACACTGGCCTGAAGAAAATGGGTGTTCATTCAAAGAAGGTTTTCCTATGAATTAATTAGTAGAAAAGTCCATTTCTCCTGTGCATTTGTGTCCCTTTGTTTCTGGAGAAAGCAGAATGAGAGCCGGCTCGCATTCCACAAGGTTGTAAATGTATCGGGTTACCATGAAACCAGGGTCTTGTTCGGCGTCCTGGGGTGTTACAAAGTATTTGTGAAATCTAGCTAACAAAATATATATTGTGTGTTGGAGTGTTCCAGACGCTACACTTTTTAACATTGCCATTGACTGGGTGATGTAGATCATTTCAGAATACCAGCCAATAGGTGTGAGATGGACCCTCTGTACTGCACTTGAAAATCTGGACTTTGCTGACAATCTGGCTCTGGTCTCCCACACAAACCAGCACATCCAGGAGAAGACATATCAATACATATGCTAAACAGATAGGCCTGAGGATCAACCTGCAGAAGACAGATGTGATGACAAACAATATACCATATCCCCAACCAGGGCAGGTAAACGTAGAAAATCTTCCAATGACCAAAGAGTTCACCTACTTGGGCAGCGTAGGAGGAGTGGACAGCGACATAAAGAATCGTCTTAGCAAGGGCAGGAATAGCTGAATAGTTTCTGGAGGTCCCAGCAGTATTACACAAAGACCAAACTGAAGTTGTACCAGAGCTGTGTGCTTTCATCCATGTTACATGGCTCAGAGTGCTGGAGGATGACAGACAGTGACCTGAATAAGCTCTTTTCCACACAAAAAATCTTCAATCATGAGAATTCTCTTACCAAACACCATCTCTAATGAGCAATTGCTCGCTCATTGTAAACAGGACAGCATTGGAACCATCATCATGAGAAGAAGATGGAGGTGGACTGGGCACTTGCTAAGGAGTGAACCCAAAAATATTAACCGCATGGCCTTTTACTGGACACCGGAGAGCAAACGCAAGAGAGGCAGACCAAAGAACACCTGGTGCCGGACTGTAGAACGAGAACTAAATAACCTGAACCACACTTGGGGTACCATCCAGACGCTGGCCCAAAACAGACAGGAGTGGAGGACTTTTGTTGCTGCCCTACATGCCAAGAGGCATGATGGGCAGTAAGTTAGCACTTCTTGAAGAGGCCTGATGTTCTTTTGAATCACACTCTTCTGGACAAGATTCAGAATCCTGTGGAACCTGATGGACTTGCATGAGCTTGCATTTGGCCTTTTGTTGTCATTATGAGTGGAGCTTTCTTCAAGTTCTTGCAATGGAATTATTCCAAATTGCTTTATGTATCACGATGGGAGGAAAGTCTGGTACCACCCTTATCATTCTCAGAGTTTACCCAAGACAGCTTTTTGGGGATGGCAAAGGGTAGTACACAGATGTTTAACACTCTGCAACATACTCACATTTGCAATCAAACAGGCAGCAAATGGTCAAAACATTACAAAGCACAATGTCTTTCTTTGGTGGGCGGCTGGAATCAAGTCAAGTCAAGTCAAGTCTGCTTTATTGTCAATTCTTCCACATGTACAGCACACACACACAGATAATTGAAATTGCGTTACTCTCAGACCCTTGGTGCATACAGATAATACTAACAGTAGAACATAAATACAGATAGATACAGATTAAATATAAAATACAACTTTACAAATATACAAATAAGGTAAAATATAAAAAAAATATATAAAGCAGCACAAGGCACATGGCAGATAGAGTGCAAACCAGTGAAGTAAATAACAGTGCAGATATAATGATTTGTAGTGCAAAAAGAGCTTATTCAGACTGATTAAAGTGACAGTGTGTGTGTGTATTTGGGAGGGGGGAGTGGGAGAGTCCGTCAGAGGGTCAGAGTTCAGTGGTGCGTGGGGCAAAAGAGGGGATGGGGGGGCAAGGTCGGGAGGGAGTTCAGCTTCCTGACAGCCTGATGGATGAAGCTGTCCTTCAGTCTGCTGGTCCTGGCCTGGAGACTCCGCAGTCTCCTCCCTGATGGCAGCAGACTGAAGAAGCTGTGTGTCGGGTGGGTGGGATCACCTGCAATGCAGAGGGCTTTTCGGGTGAGACGGGTGTTGTAAATGTCCTGGAGGGAGGGGAGAGAGGCACCAACGATCTTCTCAGCTGCTCTCACTATGCGTTGAAGTGTCTTGCGGCAGGACGCGTTGCAGGCGCCATACCACACAGTGATGCACTCGTCAGAATGCTCTCGATGGTGCCTCTGTAGAAGGGGGGCCGGGCTCTGGCTCTTCTCAGTTTGTGGAGGAAGTAGAGACGCTGCTGTGCTTGAAGACATCGGTGAGTTCCACTGCACAGTCTCTCAGTACACGCCCAGGAATGTTGTCAGGACCCGGAGCTTTGCGTGCATTGATCCTGCTGAGGGATCTCCTCACGCTGTCCAGGGACAGCGTCATCACCTGGTCGCCGGGAGGAGGTGGAGTCTTCTGTGCAGTGGTGCTGTTTTGTGCCTCAAAGCGAGCGAAGAAAACGTTCAGCTCGTTCAGCAGGGAGATGGCGCTGTCACAGGTGCGTGGGTAGTCCGTAATGGTCTGTATCCCCTGCCACAGGCTCCGAGTGTCTCTTCGCTTTGCTTGCAGGTGTTTTTTTTTTTGAGTGTGTTTTGTCTTTTGTGTGCTCTATATTTTGTCAGCACTCTCATTCAGTTCCTCCTGTGATTGTCTATAGGTTTGGCTCACAGCCATGAGAAACAAACTAAAAACAGCTACTTTCTTCTGGCCTGGATCTGATGTGAAAGTCAATGGACGATACCCAGATTTCTGGGTGAAGTATGACAGGTGAATATTTACAATAACTGTTGTTGGTTTTTTAACTTTGTTATTAACTGGATTTTAGGGTTGATTTGAGAGTTCTGAGGACTGGCTATAATTCACATCTAAAACTAGCAATTACGAACAACACTTCATATTACACTAAATTCAAAAGTAATAGTTTGAAGCAAGTTACACAGATAATGACTCTGAATATGGGCTTCTGCTGAACTCAATAGAAGATATCAGGGTTTTTAGTAACAGCCACCAAAAGCTGAGTTTAAATGAGCCATCAAATTAGTTAAAAAGGATGATATAATTTAAATAGTAGGTTTGAAGATATGAGCTCATACAGAATTCATATATTAATAGCTATTTTCTGTTCTGTTGTGAAACACTCAAAGAGCAAAGATATACTGTCTTTTTCTTTCTTTAGGAACATTCCCTTTGAAAAGAGGGTGGCAAAAATCTTTGAATGGTTGAACTTACCTAAAGGAGAAAGGTAATGCATTTTTAATTTATAGTTTTTTTTTTTTAAATAACTGATTTGGTTTGGTTCTGCCTAAACTGTAAAAAAAATTTTTAACTTGCAATTGTTACCGTAAATAACTATTTCTACCTCATTTAACTCATAAAAATGTGTAAAGTGATGTATTTAAGTTGATTCTCTGATGTTAAATAATATTTTTGACTTGAATTAAATGTTAATTTAGATGCTGTTTTTAGCTTACTATTTTTTCCAGATTACAGTATATATACTTTGTTTTAGGCCAGAATTTTACACCTTATACTTTGAAGAGCCTGATGTCGCGGGTCATCGATATGGACCAATGAGTAGCCAGGTAAACTGAAGACAAACCACATGTGGAAATTAATTGATAAACTTCAGTTTCTGTTTAGTTTGGGGGGCCAAATGTCTGATTTAGGATATGAAGCATTAAATGAAGACAATCACTGTTATTTTTTGCTGATGAAGTGTATGGAATACAGGAAAATTCGCAGTGATTGACATATGGTAACCATTTCAGTGCACAGCTAAAGCGGGAGGTGGCAATTGCTGGAGGGTTTTACGAGCCTTTGTCTCTAAGCATGGTAATTTGCAAATGGACTTGAATCGAAATTACTAAAGATTCTCAGGACCCTAATATATATTGCATATGTACCAACATATAATATATACGCTTGTTTCAATCATATGAAGGCGAATTCATAGATACTAAACAAGGTAGTATTACATATAGTGAAAGGATGACAGTAATGGGTTCCCTCATAAGCATGCCTAAAATAGTCTAAAAATATCAAAGACAACATACACCATGACCTGAAGGATACATTAATTCAAAGAAAGGTTTTCCTATGAATTAATTAGTAGAAAAGTCAATTTCTACTGTGCATTTGTGCCTCTTGCTTCTGGAAAATGCAGCTGAGAGTCTCTGCTCACATTCCACAATGTCGTAAATGTATCGGGTGTCAGGGTTACCATGGAACCAGGGGCCTGTTCAGCTTCCTGGGGTGTTACAGAGTATTTGTGAAATCTAGCTAACAAAATATATATTGTGTGTTTGAGTGGTCCAGACGCTACATTTATAATATCTTAATATCTTCATGCCTTATAGTCACATTTAGCAGCTATATCGTCTTTTGTCAGTATACTGTAAGTACTGTATGTGGAAAAAATTATACAGTATTTCCAATTTTATATTAAGAGATGAGCGATAGTATAGTTAAATTTTTAAATGAAATATAAAAAGATCACATATCATATTGCGTATGTGAGTGTTAGTAAATATATGCAGATAAAGTGGATATTGAATATTAGTTGTCAAGACAACTGTCATGTGTATGTTCCTGTTTGTCCTTATTTGGTCCTTGTTCCTGTCCCCATTTAGTTCTATTAGTTCCAGGTGTTTCTCATTATTAGTTATTCTCCTCACCTGTCTCCCCCTCGTTATCTGCTCTATTTGAGTTCTAGCCCGTTCTGTTCTCCCTTGTCTGGAATAGTTGATGTCAACCCTTGCTACGTGTGTTTTTCTGTTTCCCTGGATATTATTAAAGTTAATAAGTTTGAATTCGACTCTGCATCTCCTCGTTCCTCGCTCCGTGCTCCTCACAGTAGCGAACCGTGACAGAATTCCAGACCTAAAACAAGGAGGAAGCGGCGCCCCTTCTCCCCATTTTATTTCCGTTTTGAAAGTTTTTTGTTTTCCCAGTTTCTCCCCGCGACTATGGAAGTTGCCGCTCGGTTCACCGCCCTGGCTCGCCTGGATCTCCCGTTTGTGGAGTATGCATGGGAGTTCTGCGGGATCGCCACGAGTACGGCGTTAGACGATGCGACGCTCAACTCTCTGTTCTGGATCGGGGCTAATTACCATCGCCCCGTGAACCTCCCAGACACCACTGGACTAAGCTGGAGGGAAGGGATCCTCCTGTGTCTGGAGAGCGTCCGGCCCTGATCCAGAACCAGCTCACCGTCAAGCCCGCTGGCCTCTCCTACGTCAAGCCCGCCGGCTGCTGCTGACTCAGAACTCTTGGACATGGCGCTACCTCCAGAGTTCTCGGCTCCTATCCTCACCCCAGAATCCGCTCCAGAAAGTTCTCCTTCGTCTCCGCTGGTCCCGTCCAGCTATCTATCGTCCCCTGAGTCTCCTTCGAGAATTGCCTGCTCCGCCATGGCAACCTGAGTCCCCTGCTCCGCCATGGCAACCTGAACTGCCAGCTCCGCCATGGCCCTCTGAGCTCCCTAATCCACCCTGGAGGCCTTCCCATGTCCCTGCCTTGCACCAACCTCCAGGGCATCCTGGTGGTATTGTTATGGAGCGGGACACGCCTTCCGGGAGGTGGGAGTAATGTCACGTGTATGTTCCTGTTTGTCCTTATTTGGTCCTTCCTGTTCCTGTCCCCATTTAGTTCTATTAGTTCCAGATGTTTCTCATTATTAGTTATCCTCCTCACCTGTCTGCCCCTCGTTATCTGCCCTATTTGAGTTCTAGCCCGTTCTGTTCTCCCTTGTCTGGAATTGTTGATGTCAACCCTTGCTACGTGTGTTTTTCTGTTTCCCTGGATATTATTAAAGTTAATAAGTTTGAATTTGACTCTGCGTCTCCTCGCTCCGTGCTCCTCACAGTAGCGAACCGTGAAAAAACATTGATTTTCATTTAGTTTAGCTTCATGTATACTAAAATAGCTGAAACTGAAATATAAAAACTATTTAGATATATTAATAATAAAAACTGACAAATACACACAACAAAATTACTAAATCATTAGAATTTAAAAGGAAAATAAAAATAATAAATATTAATAAAAACTTTAACATTAAAATGAGAACAAAAAAAAAAAATATATAAAAAAAGACTAATTCAAAGTACTAATAAAAACAATAATAGTATCTCAGTGATACTAAAATGGGAGGGCACAGAAGTTCTTCAGCAGTGACATCTGCTTGACGCCTGTCTTTGTTTGTGATTAGGGGAAATTAAAGACGTGTGGGATTGCACATGTGTCTCCTGCTCTTAGAGTACACCATGAGGCTTGCTAACATGCTAATTTTGACTTTTGGGTTTTTAATTGTCTGTGCCGCTCTGCCCTTGTGGTTGGAGGGATTGTGAATGCATATTGAGCTGGTATGTTTTTTTATGTGCTGAACTTCTGTTGCATCACTGATGTTTAATTAGTACTCGCTCAAGAATATAATGAAAGATGTGGAGGTTTGGCTGTAAGCCTTAAGGTCAGTGAATTATATGCTTTCTTTGATGCTTCAGTGAGAGGAAAAAAGTTGAATTTTATAATATGCAGGGAAAATACTACAGTGAACACATCAAGTTGTATTTAATGTTTTAATTCAGCAGTTCATCCAAAAATGTACTCGCATCATTTACTTTGAAATAAATAATTCATTCTGGTTTGGATGAGTATATGAATTGTTTGGGTGAACTATTCCTTAAGCACTGTGGTATATGGCTCATTTTGAATGTTTCTGTCCTGATTTGTGTCTCTAAACATGCAGGGATGGAAGAAGCGTCATGTAAGAAAGCTGCATACGTCTCAGATTATCTGGATAACATCGATGACATTACTGTCATCCAGGGTCCTGCAGCGAGAGTCCAGCCCAAACGTTTGCCTGATGAATTCTTCTCCTGTAAGCAGACAGATTTGACCCACCACACATTTGTTGCTTGAGTGTCTTTGTATTTGAGTGTTTCTTCAACTATTGACACTTTCATGTTGCAGCAGTTGATTTTTTTTTTTTTAATTAGCAGATTTGTGGTATAAAGGTCGCATAACTTTTAAAATGACTCATCGTTCATTTTTGCTGGTTTTCATATGCCATGTTTAGATTTAATCTTTTATACCGTTGTCTTAGACCCAAAATTTCACAATAAAAATCCATCCATTTCAATATCTGTATAAATGTTATCAAAAGTTAGTGTACTAGTTGTACCATAAAGAACTTGAGATGAAATATTACAGATGTAAAAACAATATAGAAAAATCTATGTACACTGTCAAAGGTTTGAGGTCAGTAAGATTTTTTTTTTTTTTTAACTTTTATTTAGTAAGGATGCATTAAATTGATCAAAAGTAACAGTAAAAACAAAAACTTTACATGGTTGCAAATAAATTCTGCTTCAAATGCTGTTCTTATTAAGCAGCACAACTGTTTTCAACATTGATAATAATAATAAAACACGTTTCATGAGCAGCATATTAGAATGATTTCTGAAGGATCATGAGACACTCGAGACTGGAGTAATGATGCTGAAAATTCAGCTTTACCATCACAGGAATAACTAAAATATATTAAAATATTTTTAGTGAAATAAATGCAGCCTTGGTAAGCAGAAGAGACTTCTTTCAGAATCATTAAAAAATTGTTCTGACCCCAAACTGTTAAACGGTAGTGTAAATACCATGAGAGGCTGGATAAACTGGGCCTAGAGTGACTGTAGTTGAAGAAACTCCCATTAAAAAAGTCATTTGTTCATTAAATGTAAGTCAAACGATCCATCTCTTCTCTTTTCCTGTTTTTATCTGGCAGTTGATTATGAAGGATTGGTGAAGAATCTTTCGGTATGATCCTGTCACAACATCCCCACACCTCACTTATAGACCATATCTTCCACTTAAATCATATTGAAATCTTTATTCTGTCTCTCTTTCTTTCTGTGTTTGAAGTGCAGAGAACCTGATCAGCCGATGAGGCCATATCTGAAGGAGCATCTGCCCAAACGGCTTCACTTTGCCAATAACATCCGTATAGAGAGCGCACATCTCTACATGCAGCCCGGCTGGCAAGCAGCACTGTGAGTTTGAGCTTTGAGAATCAAATTTTAAAATTAATTTAAATTTCATATAAAATGTCCATCCATTTGGATTACACAGTTTTAACATAAACTAAATTTGAATGTGATTCATATTTGTCAGTCAAACATATAAATTAAATAAACTGAATTTTTTAAAATATACAATAACCAGGTTTATATATTTATCACAGATAAATCCAATTTCTTTTAATCTCATATATTTTAGCTACTATTCCTTGCTCCATAGCTAGCCATGTTTTAACCATGTTCATATTTTTTGCTGAAAAGAAATGTATTTAGATGTATGCTGATTCTAATTTGAATAAATGCATTATTTATTGAAAATATGATTATTTATATCAAATCAAATTGATGCTGAAAGATGATAATTATTAGAATTTGTTAAAACTGTGTAATCCAAATAGATAAATAAAAATGATGAAATATATAAAATCTTATATGCAATTCAAATGTATAAATTGTACATCTAATAAATAATCGTAAAATATTTTTTGTGTATAATGAAAAAAATTTAATATTCTCAAGGTATTAATGTGTTTATAAAATGAGTTTAACCTCTCAAAGTTTTTGATCACTCTGCAAACCTTTCTGTTTTTAAATAGTAACCGAATTTGATTTAAGGCATTTGAAGATTATTATTATTTTTTTTTTTCACAGTATTTTTCTCCCACTTTGATCTACAGCAAACCAAGTGAAATGAAATACTGCAGTGGCGGCTTCCATGGTTCAGATAACGTCTTCAAGAACATGCAGGTTGGCAAGCACACTCGTCTCAATATTGATTTTTATGTTTTAGCAGACATTTTCTTACCAAAGTGTGATGTTACAAATAGATTGTCTTCACCCAGTGCTTCACAATGTGCAGTTCAAATGCCTTCCTAAAACATAATGATTTAAAATATACTTTAAAGTAATACATTTAATTTGGCATTATTACAAAGTGCACTTTTTGAATGTGTACTTAAGTGTGTTAAAAACATAATCACGAAAGTGTACTCTAATTCCGCTTGTCCACCAGAGCATTTTTTCCCAAGGCTAGCATATTTTTTTCAATTGATTTCAATGAGAGCACTACGGTTTTTAAAACACCAGGAGCGCGACGAGGCACTGAGGGTTTATTTCACACTGAGCATTCGGCATTTTTTTCTCAGTGCCAAAAGTTGAAGAATGTTCAACTGAAAAAAATGCGCTCTCAAGCGCTCACAGCTAGGCGTTTTCAGCTGGTTAAAATGCTTTGGTGGACACACTGCCTAAGTATACCTTCATTTTATATGAATATTATCTGCAAGTATGTTTTTTAAAAATATATACTTTGAGAATTACCTCCTCTCCTAGGTTCACGAAACGGTCGTCCATAAAATGCATTGCTGTTCTGTTGTAAGTAATCTTAAAGATTCCTAAATGCATCTACTTTCGGAAGGCCAAATAAAGTGCTTTTGCTTTCGCCTAGAAACACACAGCGTCTCCCTGACATGCTGCTTCAACACTAACTGCGGTTACTGAAACCACGCTTTCTTTCTTTGCGTGAACATTTGGGCGGCATTATGCTAATATTTCCACATAGTGAGGTAGATATGTGGGGGCGTGTTAGAACGAGCCGTTTTAGGGGGGCGTGGCAGAGTCTTAACTTTGATAAAGAATATCTCTTTGGTTGTGAGACTTTAGTCTTTGCAACTTCAGGGATCTTATCTGAAAGAGAAAGGAAAACTTGAAATCGCATCATATGACCCCTTTAAAGTACACCACAAGTGCACATTTAATATGAAATTTATTTTTTAACAAGGGAAGCTAAGCCTCTGTATACAATTCGGTAATGTTTAATATCAGTAATTGTAGATGAAGAGCATATTTTAAAAATAGTATTTAAATAATTATTTATTACTCATTTGGTCTCTTGCGTAAAAAACATTTGAAGAAGAAAATGTTGCCAAACATCAGTTCTCCATTGCTTCTCATGGCGTTTTCTTCTCTTTCAGCTTCCCTTGCACACCATCCACATAAACCCTCAATCACAAAATTAAGCATTATCCCCAAAATCCAGACAAAATATATCTTAAATCTGTCATAGACACCAGTAAACATTTCTATTTTCAGTTTCTGCTTGAGGCTCTATGCTTATGTGCTGCAATGTAATGAGGCTTAGGAGACCAAGCATTTCGATGAGGATTATGCTAAATTCTTATTAAAGGATCTGAGTAAATTCCCATGAAGGGGATTATCATCTGCAGGGTCTTTCCAGAAAAAACTAACAAAAAATAAAAATAAATCAAACATGCCCTTTAAATGAACTCTCGTCCATTGATTATAACTTCTCTGTGCCAGATTCACACTTAGTAGTTCCTTCGAACTGGAAGGTGTTCAAATTGCAGTTTTAAACACACACTCAACCCACATATTGGACCTTTGACAGAGTCTTGTTTATGTCTGTGTGTGTGTGTGTGTGTGTGTGTGTGTTTCCAGCCATATGTGCCCCTAGTTTGTGTGGTTGTCTAGGAATGTCTAATGCATCTGGTAGGCTTTACAAAAACATCTTACAGGAACTCTTATGAGGCAACGGTCTAACTAGTTGAGGTAAATTGCTCAAGCTAGTCACTACCACAGGGATGGTTATTATGGCAAGATCTTTACTTTAGGCCATTCTAATGAAGTGAAATCTCCTGCTAGGAGGAATGAAAATCATTTTTGCGACTCTGTGTCAAGGAAATGAGATCAGTCTAGTTTGTACTACTCAAATGTTCCGTGTTTCAGCCGAAGGCGAGTGGAATGTGTGTCTCTCTGTGACTCCAAATCAAAATAAGTGCTTTTAGTTATTTTTAACTGTGGTCTGTGTTTTTGGAGCTATCGTGGGTGTTTTGTTGACATATTCAGGGGCCCCAAATAGTACTTGGATACTAAAGCCACACTTCAAAATGTCAAATTTTCATCACATTAGACAAGAACATGTTAAGTGGCATCTGCAAACAAATAGCATTTTCTCAGAACCAGCTTTGTCTTTTTTAATGAAATATTAGACAGGATATTCGACAATAACACTTTATCAAACACAGCTTTCAACAATTGAAACAACCTTTGCAAACCAAATTGTTAAAATACAGTGCCTTACGAAAATATTCATTTTTTTTCACATTTTGTTAAGTTGCTGCCTTTTGCTAAACTGCTTTAAATTATTTTTTCCCCACATCAATCTACACTCCATACACCATAATGGTAAAGCAAAAAACAGGTTTTTAACATCTTTTAAAATTTATTAAAAATAAAAAACTTAAATGATTCCATTGCATAAGTATTCATACCCTTATCTGGGACAGTTGAAATTTAGCTCAGGAGCATTCATATTGCTTGTAGATGTTGCTACACTTCAAGTGAAGTTAACCTGTGGCAAATTCAATTGAATGGGTATGATTTGGAAAGGCACACACATCTTAATAAAAGGTCTAACAGCTGATAATGCATATCAGAGCAAAAACCAAGCCCTGAGGTCAAAAGAACTGCCTGTAGAGCTCAGAAACAGGTTTGCGTCAAGCCACACATCTGTGGAAGAGTTCAGAAAAAAAATCTGCTTCATTGAAGGGTCACAGAAGCATGTAGTCTCTGTTACCCTTAATGGAAGAAGTTTGAAACAACCAGGACTCTTCCTAGAGCTGACCTCCTGGCCAAACTGAGCAATTGATGGAAAAGGGTCTTGGTTAGAGTGGTGACCAAGACCATGATGGTCACTCTAGTTGAGCTCCATGATCATATATGCAGATGGGAGAAATCTAGAGAAGGACAAATATCACTGCAGCACTCCACCGATCTGGGCTTTATGTCGGAGTGGCCAGACTCAATCTTCTCCTCAGTGAAGACACATGAAAACACACTTGGATTTTGGATAAAAACACCTCTCAGACTCTGAGAAACAAGAGTCACTGGTCTGATGAACCTCAATTCCAAGCATCATGTTTGAAGGAAACCAGGCACTGCTCATCACCTGAAGAGTACCGCCCCAAAAGTAAAGTGTGCTGGTAGCAGCCTCATGCTGTGGGGCTGTTTTTCAGTGGCAGGGACCGAGGGACTCGTCAGAGTAGAAGATAAGCTCAATGCACCAAAATATTGAGTTAGCCTTAATGAAAACCCAGTCCAGATCATTCAGAACCTCAGACTGGGCAGAAGGTTCACCTTCCAACAGGACAATGAACCTAAGCACACAGCAAGAGTGGCTTATAGACAACTCTGTGAATGTCCTTGAGTGGCCCAGCCAGAGCATGAGCTTGAACCCAATCAAATAATTCTGGAGAAACTTGAAAATGTGCATTTTCTCCCATCCAAAATGACAGAGCTTGAGAGATGAAGAGGTGAGGAGAAGAATGGCAGATTATTGCCAAATGATGATGATCAAAGCTTGTCGCATTAAACAAAAAAGACTTGAGACTGTAAAGGTGCTTCAGCGAAATGTTTAGAATACTTATGCAATGTACTTATTTCAGTTTTTCTTTTATTTTTAATAAATTTACGAAGTTGTGTTTTTGCTTTGTCAGTATGGTGTATGGAGTGTAGATTGATGTGGAAAAAAAGTAATTTAAAGCAGCTTAACATAAGGCAGCAACATAACGAAATGTGAAAAAATTAATGGGGTATGAATACTTTCGCAAGGCACTGTATTTTGCAAATGTCAAGTGTAAACTAAAAGTTTGTTTTTAAGTGTGATTTCATGAATTAAATGTAACTGTTTGCAGGCCATTTTTATTGGATATGGACCAGGTATCAATTCTAAGACGACTGTGCCTCCCTTTGAGAACATTGAAGTCTACAACCTCCTATGTGGTAAGTTTCATTTTCTGAGAGGTATCATGAAAGTGTGAAAGGAGTCTCTTTAATCATATTTTTAACATCCCAGTTCAGTGCCAAACCCAGTTTGACATCCCAGTTCAGATAACCAGTATTGAAGTTATTGGGACTGTGTGCATTCTTGTGTGCTAAATGCTCTTGTGAAAAATAACACTTTAGCATACTTTACAAAAAAAAGTAGTTATTAAATAATATATTTTAAAAGAATAAGTGAGAACTGAATGTAATGTTTTCAGACAATTATATATTTTATAGTTAAAATTTGTATTAAATTGTATTACATTTATATTAAATATATATTTATATTATATTAAATTAGCTGCTTTTTTGAGCCACTTAAGTAGAATATATTATTTCATAATTACTTTTGAAGTATGGTTAAGGTTTACTGAATGTACTGACAAGCAATTATGGTAAACTGGTAACTTACTACATTTAAAATGATATTCAAGAAACAGTCATAAAATTGTACCCCCTTTAAGAACACTTAAGTGGCCTTTTATTTCTTTAATATTATATGATCTGCAAGTACAGTTTTTTTAAATGTCCTTTTAAGATTTGAAATACACTATAAGTGCACATTCAATACAATACAAAGTACAAAATACATTTTTCATTCCTTCTTTTCACCTTTGATTTGGAACAGAGCGATTAAATTATGATGGTTGTGTTGACACATTCTTTATCACTCATAAAAAGTTTCTAAATCTAGCAACATACTAATGCCAACTGGTCAATCCTCTCATACGAATGCGAGTTCTTGAGCTCATACTGGTTTAAATCCAAGAGAAGTCTTGTGGGAAATTGTGCAGAACTATGAGAGTCTTGTTTTCCGTCACCACCTCCGTCATCCACAATCACTTCCAAGGACTTAATGACCCACTTCGAAAACAAAGTGGCCATCATTGGCAGCTTATTGTCTTTTACCACTGTTGATGGTTACATACAGAGGCGGACAAAGTACTCAACTCCATTACTTGAGTGAAAGTACAGACACTGCTGGTCAAATATTACTCCATTAGAAGTAAAAGTTGTAAAGACAGATTTTTACTTAAGTAAAAGTACAGAAGTACTTGCTTTGAAAAGTACTTAAGTACCAAATGTAAATGTCCTTTTTTATGTCAATGCACTGTTTTATTGTTGTATGTAACACTTGCAATACTTCTGAAGCAACTTAGAATACATTACACCTGCTGAATACACTGACTAGCTTGTAGTATCTTTGGAATAAAGAGCTTTTAGAATGTTAAAAACCTATGGGGGAAAAAATTAACACCTCTACCCACCCCCACAAAAGCAGGATACACTCTTAAAAATAAAGGTGCTTCAAAAGGTTCTTCAAGCGATGCCATAGAAGAGCCATTTTTGGTTCCACAAAGAAGCATTCAGTCAAAGGTTCTTTAAAGAACCTTTGACTGAATGCTTCTTTGTGGAACCAAAAATGGCTCTTCTATGGCATCGCTTGAAGAACCTTTTGAAGCACCTTTATTTTTAAGAGTGTAGTAGTAATCTCACACAGTTCTGACAGTGTGTGCACACATCTACAGTGGGGAAAAAAAGTATTTAGTCAGCCACCAATTGTGCAAGTTCTCCCCTGCAAGAGTGATTACTGATAAACTGTCTGAAAAAAAGACAGTTTTTAGAGAAGAAAGAAATCACCCACTGACTTTCAAAGCTGCTACATAGTAACGACTTTCTACTTCGAGGACCTTCATAGAAATGTAGTGGAGTGAAAAGTACAATATTTGTCTTTCAAATGGAGTGAAGTTAAAGTCATAAGTTTCCAGAAAAACTAATACTCAAGTAAAGTACAGATACTCAAAAAGTGTACTTAAGTACAATACTCAAGTAAATGTACTTAGTTACTGTCCGCCTCTGGTTACATAGTTAGTGAGCTTCCCAACATTGTTACATAATGGCTGGTTTTCTCACCCACTCTGCTTCACTCTTGACTCTAGTTCAGGGTTTCTCATTTCCAGTCCTTGCGTACCACCACTCTGCACATTTTGTATGTATCTCTTATCACTTCAGACGTTTGTTCTATTCGACTGTATGTGCCCTGCGAAGAGAACATCACATTTGCAACTTTTCATTTTCCGTCGGTCTTAGTACACGATGTAACTACAGAAGAGTCAAGTTTTAAATAGGAACAATATAGAAACTCTTTGGTCATTTTTGAGCGAGATGCTAACGGTCTAATCAGATTCAATGATCTATGCTAAGCTACAGCTAAAAGTGCTACGCCAGACCCGGAGATCGGCTGAATGGATTCGAAAATGGTAAACTCAACTGTTTAACTCTAGGGGAGTTGGAAAATGAGCCTAATTAAAAAAAAATAGTGGAGTGTTCCTTTAAAGCCTAGCTTAGCATCTGCTACTGTATAAAGCCTGTTCTTGGCCTCCTGTACCAGTAATTGACAATAACGTGATTTTTTCCATTGTATCGTAATTAATTTTGGTAAAAAATCTTCTAAGAACAGTTTATTCTTCTGTTTTTTTTCTTTTCTTTAGATTTGCTGGGTATTCCTCCTGCCCCAAATAACGGCACCCATGGCAGTTTAAACCATCTGCTGAAGAACTCACCCCACCAGCCGGTGTACCCAGCAGAGCGCTCGGCTCCATCGACATGCACCCCTTTTAACGGCTCCTTACGAGACCCCCGCGGCTGCACCTGTGACTCCCTCACTGAGGCTGAGGTTAGCATTTTTAAAAGGGAGGACAAAATGCTTATCTAACATATTCTCACTCCCAACTCATCACTTATGTGTCACTTTGGCCCTTGGTGTCACTTTTTACCACACTAAGTACCCGTTAGTGTAATTTTTCAACATGCAGGGAATCCCATTGCTTTTCTTCAGTTTTTGAATGTGTTTGTAATTTGCGCATTATGGTAGATACGGTGACTGCTGGGCGGCATTATGCTAATATTTCCACATAGTGAGGTAGATATGTGGGGGCGTGTTAGAACGAGCCGTTTTAGGGGGGTGTGGCAGAGTCTTAACTTTGATAAAGAATATCTCTTTGGTTGTGAGACTTTAGTCTTTGCAACTTCAGGGATCTTATCTATGCACAATCAGATTGTAACAATCCAAAGAGAAAGGAAAACTTGAAATCGCATCATATGACCCCTTTAAAGTACACCACAAGTGCACATTTAATATGACATTTATTTTTTTAACAAGGGAAGCTAAGCCTCTGTATACAATTCGGTAATGTTTAATATCAGTAATTGTAGATGAAGAGCATATTTTAAAAATAGTATTTAAATAATTATTTATTACTCATTTGGTCTCTTGCGTAAAAAACTTTTTCATTTGAAGAAGAAAATGTTGCCAAACATCAGTTCTCCATTGCTTCTCATGGCGTTTTCTTCTCTTTCAGCTTCCCTTGCACACTATCCACATAAACCCTCAATCACAAAATTAAGCATTATCCCCAAAATCCTAAGCAGGGAATCCCATTGCTTTTCTTCAGTTTTTGAATGTGTTTGTAATTTGAGCATTATGGTAGATAGATAGATACGGTGACTGCTTTTGGCTTTGCGTTTATTTGTTATGAAATGGGAGTGAGAATCTGTTGGCTTACCATATATTTTACTGATGATGTCAAAGGTCGTGCATCCAGAAAGCCAATTACATTACCTTTACCATATTACAATTCTGAAAAAATAAAAATAAGTGGATAGTTTCAGAATGTCTTTCAAACATAGTTCAAAGGAAAATGGCTACATGTTTGAATTTTTTTTTTTTTCCTTTTTCGTGCCCTTGATCATTGGTCTTACAGTTAATGTTGCAGAATGGATTACAGTCTCTATAGCTCCAAGGAATTTCTTTGAGTTACGTTTGTTGTTTGTGTGTGTCTCTATGCTGATCCACATCACATATTCATTTTTGGCTTTGTGGTGTTGTCTTGATTTCTTTATTTTTTCCTGTGGTTTGTCACAATCACATAGCTTTTCAGATTTTGAAAGGGAAGTGAGTCAAGCCTCTTGATATTATATATATATATATATATATATATATATATATATAATATTACTATTCAAAGGTTTAGGGTCAGGGGAAAGTAATGTTTTTAATTCCACAACAATGCATTACATTGATCAAATTGGACATTAAAGGCTTTTAAATTATTACAAAAAATATTTCAAATAATGATAGATGGATAGATAGATAGATAGATAGATAGATAGATAGATAGATAGATAGATAGATATGAAATATACATCAAATTCGTGTATCCTAACATACATTTCCATAAACTTTTTTCAGGTTAACAGTCTAAACCAGCGTCTCATCGACTCAAACTCAAGTCAGTAAACTGTTTGTCAAGAATAGTTCATATCGACTTTGTGTTAGAAAACACTGTGTTTGAAACCTTTCAAGTCAGTCTTTGTTTTTTTATCTTTTTATAGACTCTAATGTGAAGCCTGTTCATCTGCCGTATGGAATCCCGCGTGTTCTTCAGGAGCAGTCAGATCACTGTATACTTCACCACAGTGCATACGTCAGCGGATACAGCAGAAACATTCTGATGCCCCTTTGGGTCTCATATTCTTTGAATGCAACGGTAAGACTATTAAGACCCTCTGAAATTACTTGACGAGCACAGCTGTTTTTCTTGGTGGACGTATTGCTACGTGCTATTGCTAGTCAAAGATGGAATGTATAGTTAGGGAGTAACATTCTTCTTCGAGAGAGCATTTTATTATTCGAGTCAAGACAAGTCGTACAAGATGAGTCATGTAGATGAGTACACTCCCAAAAAAGACAAACGGGTATATCTGCTAAAATGTTATTTTGTGAACTTTTAGGAGTACACCATTGAATGGCAGAGAAAAATTTAGCTGCATCTGTTTTGAAATAAATATGGTTGTTTATCCTGCTATATCAAAATAAAGAATTAAAAAAAATATATTTTTTTATTCTTTATTTTGATGTAGCAGGATAAACAACCGTACTTATTTCAAAACAGATGCAGCTAAATTTTTCTCTGCCATTCAATTTTCTTTTTTTTACATAATACAAAAATATAGAAAGTGAACTAAATTAAAAATATATATATAATAAATAAACAAATAAATAAATAAAATAAAAATATTAATAACAGCATTCATTTTTACAATTCGGGAGGTCAAATGTATACTTAATGATCAAACCCCATACTAAATAATGTTAAATGTTCATTCTTGGTTTATGATGGAGATTGTGGGAGAAAATCTACTAGATGTGTAGTAGGGAAAAGACATGCAAGGGAAATTACCCTGACATTTTTCATTCAGGAGGGAAGGATCATTTGTTTTATACCTTCACAATGTCTGGCCATAATGGCCTTACATATTCAACCCACTTGGTCCAGTTTTGGTTTTCTGAAGACAAAGGGAAAAAGTAATCTTTTCCGTAACATAAATATAATTTACTATATCCATCTACTCTTGTATTGTGGGGGGTTCAGGAAGCAGCCAACGCCTTGTGAGTGCTTTTTTACCGGCAGATGTTAAAATGTCAAATAATTATCCTTCAGGTCATCTTGCCTGGAGATCAGCATTTCCTAAAAACAATATGGAAAAGTATAAAGGCAGTGCAGTATTAAGAATGTTTTCCACTGCTTTATGAAGCTCTACCCAGGAAGGTTTTATTACTGGACACTCCCAAAATATATGCCAGTGATTGGCTTCCCGAAACTCACACCGTCTCCAACATTTGGTGTCCCCTCCCTCAATATGTGCTTTCTGTTTCGGAGTAATAAAACATCTGACAAGGCACTTCCACCCAAACTCCCGCCATATGTGAGAGTTAGTATATTTCCACGTGAATTTACAGTACATACATCAAGCCACTCCTCATACGATATCGGAAAATTACCTTCTTTTTCCCATTTTTCTTTAATGTATTCTGTAGAGTGAGTTTTTTTTTATCCTAAGGACTTCATAAAATTTAGAAATGACATCCTTATTTAAATCAACTTGGTAAGCACTCATAAATACCTTCAATATTGGGTCATCAAAGTGTGTTTTATTTTTAATAGTGTGTTCAAAATGATTGCGTATCTGGAGATATCTATAAAAATCAGATTTCTCAAGATAATATTCGTTCTTCAAACTTTCAAAGTATTTTAAGTGTTCCTTTTCCATAGGAGAATAGAATGCTGTTGTTCCTTTTGAGACCCAAGATTTGAATCTGTAATTCAGATCTTGTAATCCATTCTATTTGGCTTGAATTCAGGATCATAGGCACACCATTGAATTATTTGTAACTTACGGTCCAGTTTATATTCTTCTTTTATCATATTCCAGATTTTAATTGGGCTTTAATACATGAATTTGCACCTTATCTATAAATCTTTCCAAGTTTTTATATGCCAATACAGCTTGAATTGGGGGCTTATTCATTATTACAAATTCAATATCTTTCCACTTCACATCTTTCACTTTAAACATGTGGTTCTCTTGTGCGAGAGACGTGAGTGCAACGGTGATAGATGCGCGAAATATGCATTCTGTGTGAACGGTTTGGTTTCAGTTTTGGCGTAAACAAGATCTTCTCCACAGTGATGTTCTCTTTTCCCACCATATTTGTAATCAACAATGCAGCAGTGCCGCATCTAGTGGCTTCAACTGGAAAGGCTAACAAAAACATTAAAATGTAATGACACTTACATCGTCATTGCATCTCGTGCGCCACTGATAATGCAGCCTCCTTAACGCACACCTAAAATTCGAATGCAACGTTTTTTGCATTCGAATGTGGATTTTTATTTTAAATTTGACGAATATTCGAAATTCTTTTTTTTTTGACAGCCCTAGTAAAATATCAGGCTCATTTCGTGGATGATCATTTTCTGAATTTCTGGAGTTTTTCTTTATATTGAGAGTGGGTTGTTTTCTTCGGTTGTGTGCAGCCATCCACTGCACCGTATTCCTGATCTCCACCCCGTTCGCGCCATCTCCCCACCACCTACCAAGTAGATAGTAGCGAGATTTCCACCTGATCTGTATTAATGGAGGATTTCACCATGGAAATTGAAAATCCTCGTGAAGCCATGTCCCTCGTTGCCTCCGTAGCATCCTGGTATAGCCGAGTGCCATCATCGTAGAATATGCACATCCTTGCCGGATACGGTGTCTGGAACTTTATTTATTTTTCTTTTAACACTTTCTTGGCTTCAGCGTACTCCCCGCATTTATTAAGCACTTCAGGAGGGAAATAATGGTCAACGTAGAAGCAGGAGTCGTTGCAGTACACTTCTTTTTTTCTGCCAGGCTCTCCGAAGCACCTCTTCTTTTATCCTGTAGCTGCCGAACTTTACTACTATAGACAGTGGCCTTGTGTGCGGACCGTTGGGCCTCGGCACTAGTGCTCGATGTGCTCACTCAATCCCGAGCTCTCTATCGCATGGGGAGTCTAGTGCGCTTTTCAACAAGTTATCTAGAAAGCCAACCATGTCCATACCTTCCTTATCTTCGGGTATACCATAAATCATCAACTTCGCGCTGTGGATCGCCGGATCGGCTTTCACCGTGGACGAAGCGGAGTCCAGCCCGGGGTCATCACATGTGGTTGCCGCAAGCCCGCCGGACGCTCCTTCGTTGAATGCGCTGGCCGTGCCGTTCTCAAGCCCGCCGGCCATTCCTCACTCAAGCAAGCTGTGTGTGATGCTGTGCGTTTCGTTGTCAAAGCTACTTTGTACGAAACTACTTTGTTTGGCCTTCCAAAAGAGGACACAACTAGAAATCAGTGGTTAAGTTGTATTTACAACACTGTTCCAGAACAGTTCAACCCAAATATTCAGATGTGTGCAGTGCATTTTATGGAGGACTGTTTCCTGATCCTGGAAGAGTAGACTACAGAGTGCCAGCTCTTCTGACTCACAGCCTGTAAGTAATTTTTTTTTAATATATTTAAAGCATTCGCCACTGACGATTCAAACGCGAGTTTTGAGCAGTGTAGAGTAGCGCTTGTTAGTCGTTTCAGACGTGGTTTTATGTTTACGTGGCGCGATACTCAACGCGTAAAAAGACAGTATAAGTCATTATAATCAGTAATTATGTCCCCACTGGATGCAACAAATGCCTCGTTTGTAATGGGTTTTATTGGTGTTGTCTCATCGCGCCGGGACACAGCATCACAGTATGGTAAGGGGCGTAACATTTCCGTCACACGCTTGAGATATTCGGCCAATCACAACGCACTAGCTGGCTAATCAGCAAACACCTCGATATTCAGAACGATGAGCTTTGTAAAAATCGACGCGTTTAAGAAAGGCAGGGCATAGAGAAGAAACAATAATGTACATTATGTGGAAAATGTGTTTTTTTTTACCTTTAACTGCATAAACACATTGCATTACACCAAATACACAACATAATGTTCTTTTTAGCAACGTCATATGACCCCTTTAAATTGCCTCTATGCATACGGCCCTCCTGATCTATCAGCCTGGCTCCCAGATTAGCTTGAAGCACGGTCTTCGTTTCCTCAATTCCTCTGCCTCCTCTAGTCTGTCATTTGTTCTCTTCAGTTTTTGTTTAATGTTGGAAAGCTGTACCTTATTGTCCCAGAGTTTGATGAGAATACATCGCAGGCTAACTTCAGAACTATCTTCATTGGGAAATGATGTCGGAGAGCAACTTCTGCTACCTTGCCTCGCTTTGGGGTCATTTTCTATTACATTTGTCGTTGTCCTACTTCTAGTAGTAACCCCTTTCTCCATTGTTAAGTAAAATATTCACTAGGGTTCACAAAATCTAGATTGTTTGGGGGGGGGGAGTTTTCACAAAACTGTCGGAGAGCTCAGAAATTAGGCTGTCATCCTCTTGGTGGCATAACCCGGAACCCTCCCATAAAGATGATTTTTAACACTAACATTTATGACTAACTGTGGCTAACTTGTCATGGGGTCTTTAAAGTGGAGTTTATTGTTTAAGGAACCTCAAACAATAGGTAATTTAAGCTGTTACAATGTTGCACTGCAGGGGTTTTCATTTGATGTTTTCCTGTGATTATTTTCTGAAGATGTCCAGTGGGATTTAAATGAGCTACACCCCTTTTTAATCATTACAGGACTGGAACTTGAAACAACCCTTGTGAAAAAGATCTACACTTTAGAATACTTTTAAAAAGTAATACTATATTATGGAAATGTACTTTTAAATAACATATTTGTAATGTTTTCAGACTCTTAATTGTTTGTTAATTGATACATGAAAATGTATTATAGTTTCAATTTATATTAAATTGATTAGCTGAATTATAGAGTGCTTTTTTGAGTAGGACTTAAGTAAACTTTTTTTCATAGATTGAATATTACTTCATAGTTACTACTATTGCCATTGAAATATGCTTAAAGTGCTGCTGAATACTGACAAGTATTTATGGTAAACTAAAATATACTTTAATGTAATTTCTATTGAAATGTGTGTAATATTTAAATATTTTCATAACTACACATTTGTAATTTAGTTCACTTAAAATATATTTATCCATTAATTGATAAACACACTACGGTTAAAATTATAATCAAGTACTTTAGATGTACTTTTGTATGTTAACAGCACAACTGCAAAAAAATATGAAAACATAATGATTTAAAATGTACTTTAAAGTAAAACCTTTAACTTTTTAAAAGTGTACTTAAATGTCTTAAGAAACAAAGTCATGACAGTGTACTCTCTTTACAGTGAGTATACTTAAGTGACCTTTTATTTCATTAATATTATGCTATCTTCAAGTACATTTTTTTTAAATGTACACTTATGATTTGAAGTGCACTACCAAGTGCACATTTAATATAATTAAGCACATTTTCTTTTCACAAGGGAAATTTGTATTGACGGTTCAAAAAGGAAGGTGTACATGAGAAGAGGGTATAATGGTGATGCTCTGAGAGGTCAGAAAGTATGACAGACAGCCTCACTCTCCTCCCTTCAGCATGTGAAATCATCTTTAAATGATACACAAACCAACTACAAGCCACAACCTGAGTTTGTCAAATGTCAGATGTGACCACCGAGTTTTTCAGGCTTCAGACGTGATCTTGTTTTTTGTTTTGCGTGGGTGGGAGTAACTTCAAGAGCTAAACATCAGGTTTTCTCTATCATGACTAGCAAATCATCCTGTTCCAAAGGGTTTAAAAGTCGGATTGTGACGCATGTATTTTAAGTACTATTATGTAAAGATTAGAGATGTTTCCTAAAAAGCAAACAGGCCTTTCTCTCAAAACTCAAAATATGCAAATGTAAGAAAATCTCATTTAAGTGGCAAGTGCTGAGAATATGTTTCTTGTAATGTGTCTACCAGGAATTCTATCATGCACTTGATGAGTGTTTTAAAGGATTAGTTAATAAAAATTTCCTGATAATTTACTCACTCCCATGTCATCCAGGATGTTCATATCTTTCTTTTTTTGTCACAAAGAAATTAAGGTTTTTGAGGAAAACATTCCAGGATTTTTCTCCATATAATGGACTTCAGTTGTGGCCAATGGGGCTGAAGGTCCAAATTGTAGTTTCAGTGCAGCTTCAAAGGGCTCTACAAGATCCCAGCTGAGGAATAAGGGTCTTATCTAGCAAAACAATCGGTCATTTTCTTAAAAAATAAAAATGTATAATGCTCGTCTTGCACTAGCTCAACTTCACGCATTACGTAATCACATTGGAAAGGTCACGCGTGACGTAGGCAGAGGTACGGACCCAGTGTTTACATAGCGAATGTGCAAAGAAAGTCAAATGCTCTTAGGTAAAACAATGATGTCGGACGATTTTGAAGTTGGAGGAGAAATTGAAATTTAAGTCCATTATATGGAGAAAAATCCTGGAATGTTTTTCTCAAAAACTTTAACTTCTTTGCGACCGAAGACAGAAAGACATGAACATCTTGGATGAAATAGGGTTGAGTAAATTCTCAGGAAATTTTTATTCTGGGAGTGAACTAATCCTTTAATCACTAAGCACTGGTTCCTCTGATCATTGATTTTCTTTCTTCTCAAACAAAGGTGAGTGTCCAGCCCTCAGAAGACACATGTGTGCGTGCAGATGTGCGTGTGCAGGCCAGTGCGAGACAGTCCTGCTCTTTCTATAAGAGCAATTCCACTCTGACCTTTGGCCTCCTGCATCCACCCAGTGAGTTCAACAGGATATCTGTATTTACTTTAAGACCTTTATACAAAACTCACAATTCATTTCACTTTCTGCCCTCTTTTACTTCTGGGAAAAGATCCTAGAGTTCAGTTAGAGCTATGATAGATAATAGCTAATGTGTGAATTTCTTTTAAATTTTTTTATGAAGTATATTACTTGCTACAATCTGAAAATAAGCCCATAAATACAGATTATTTATAAGTGATTTAATTGAAAAACAAGCCCACAGTTGCTTATAATAACATAAGCAAATATGGTATGTTGCCTTTAAAGAGGTCATATGATGTTGCTAAAAAGAACATTATTTTGTGTATTTGGTGTAATAAAATGTGTTTATTCGTTTTAAGGTTTAAAAAACACATTATTTTCCACATACTGTACATTATTGTTTCTCCTCTATGCCCAGCCTTTCTGAAACGTGTTGATTTTTATAAAGCTCATCGGTCTGAAAAGCGAGGTGTGCTCTGATTGGCCAGCTATCCAGTGCGTTGTGATTGGCCGAATACCTCAAGCGTTCGACATAAATGGGGCTAGAGTGAGCAGAGGCGCCGGGCTTGAGAACGGCGCGGCTGGTGGATTCGATGAAGGAGCGTCAGGAGGGCTTGCGGCAACCACATGTGACGACCCCGGGCTGGACTCCGCGTCGTCCACGGGGAAAGCCGATCCGGCGATCCACAAAATCTTCCCACATAGTGACATAGACATGTGGGGGCGTGTTAGAACGAGCCGTTTTAGGTAGGCGTGGTTGACTCTTAAATTTTATAAAGAATATCTCTTTGGATTTGAGACTTTAGTCTTTACAACTTTACAGATCTTCTTTATGCACCAAGAGCTTGTAACACTTCAAAGAGAAAGGAAAAATTTTAATCGCATCATAAGACCCCTTTAACAATTGGGGGAAATTGTTCAAAAGCTCACCAAGGCTGCATTTATTTGATTGAAAACACAGTATAAACAGAAATACTATTACAATTTTAAATAACTGCTTTATATTTTAATATGAATTAAAAATATTATTTATTCCTGTGATCAGAGCTGAATATTCAGCATCATTACTCCAGTCTTCAGTGTCACATGATCCTTCAGAATTAATTCTAATATGATGATTTCCTGCTCAAGAAACATTTCTGATTATTATCAATGTTGAAAACAGTTGTGCTTTGTATTTTTGTGGAAACTGTAGTACAGTTTTTAGGATTATTTAACAGATAAAAAGTTCAAATGAACAACATTATTTGCAATAGAAATATTTTGTAACAATATACAAGCCTTTACTGTCACTTTTGATCAATTTAATGCATTCCTGGTGAATAAAAGTAGCAATTTCTTTCAAAACAAAAATCGTACTGACTGTCATTTTTAACAGCAGTGTACAATTTAGTGGTCATTATACAAAATTATAAAACCACTCAATTCTGCAATTTGGCCAATCAAAGTATCCAGAGATCGGTGTAATAAAAGAGCTGTTGTGTTTATTCTAATGTATCTGTTGTTTTGTACGACAGCTTTCTCTAAATGCTTACTTTCTCCCTCAGACTTCAGTCCTACAGGAACTGAGCCGGACTCCTTAATTACAAGCAACATGGTGCCCATGTTTCCTGCTTTCAAAGGTAAGCCATGTTTTACATTCAGCTTATAACATTACAAACATTCAGACTGCAGTGAAATAATACCTGACAACTGGGATCTGTTTCTTATTTGCACTTTTTGTGATTTATGGTATAATGTCATGCACAATTTGCATGTTTAACATATTTGCATGTTTGTTCTGGCAATAATTGCATTATGTCTTTATTCTGACTGCCAATACGAATAGTTCCAAAAGATTTGCTGTTTACTTGTATACTTGGAAAGTAAACAGAAAGTTAATGGCATGCTGGAATGAATCTCCAAGTCCAGATTCTATGCACAATTACCTGTGGGGTTGGTTGAACTGTAGATATTATTTGGGATTCAAGCATGAAGTGCTGGGAAACGTGCTTTTTTTAGACATTATTACTTATTATATTGGTGTAAAAAAACTCTGTACAGTTTGATTAGATACGCAGCCTACACTGTCACTGTCATCATAAAATATTGAACTTTGAATTGAGAATGGGTTCCACATGCCAGTAAGCATGTCACATATTTTTCTCAAAAGGCTGTAATTCTGTATTGCAACTCGTAAAGTCAGAATTAAAAAGCCTGAAAAGGTAAATATTCTCCATTTAAAGCTGCCCTATAATTTGGATCAGCTGATCAAAGCTGAATTGAGGCCAGCCCGTATTTATACCAAAATCAAAGAAAAGAGTCCCACAGGAGCACTTGACCTGCCAAAAAACACCTAGGAATGCTCAACAGAGCATCCAAAGAACTGCCGTTTTCTCAGCGTAATTTCATTCCTCTGTTATCAGAGTGAGACAAAAATGGGCTCGATGAGAATACATAGATGATAGCGATGCTGTTTTGTGTTTATATGGGCCTGTAGACAAACATAAAATTGGCATCTCAGTGAAATCTCATAAAGGATATTATATTGTATGTCTTTAAAGTGACAATTTACCCCAAAATGAAAATTGTCATCATTTACTCACCCTCAAGTTGTTACAAACCTGAGTTTCTTTCTTCTGTTGAGCACAAAAGAATATATTTTAGAGAATGTTGGAAGTCAGTGGGGACCAACAACTGTTTGGTCACCAACATTCTTCAAAATTATCTTCGTTTGTGTTCAACAGAAGAAAGAAACTCAGGTTTGGAACAACTTGAGGGTGAGTAAATGATGAAAATTTTAGTGAATTATCACTACTTTAGTATCATTGATATACTATTTTTGTTTTTGTTAATATTTTGAATTAGATTTTATTTTTTAGGTTTTCTTTCATTTTAATTTTTATTAAGTTTTAGTCATTTTGTTCTGTTTTTATAATTTTCTTAAAAATGTTTGTCTATGTAGTTTAAAAAAAATGTTTTAGTTATTTAGTTCTAATTATTTTAGTACTTCATGTTAAACTAAATGAAATGGATTTATAAATGTTATGTTTACAACTAGCTGAAATAAAATGTTTATTTTCTTATATTTTTAAGTTCTTATGTTTATTAGGTTTCTTATATTTTGAAATAAATAACATAAAAATGAAAATATGTTAATGGCATTGTATATTTATATATATATATATATATATATATATATATACATGCATACATACATATACAGAAATCGGTTAAAAAGGTTTAAGCCAGGTGATCCTAACTAGCCATAATGAAGGCAGACCTGCTGTATTATTAGCCAGTATTGAGTGTTTTACACAATATGCCATTCAGACCTGTGAACCATATTTAACTGATGTTTTGCTTTAATCTCAGAGAATCATCATTGGTAATTGCAACACTTGTGTATGGTAAACACTTTCTTCATTCTGTATTGTGCAAGGATTTAGCTCCAAGTGAAAATTACTCATTTCATTTCCCAAACTAACTCCACCAAATGGCATGCATGTAGAACATTAACTCTCTGCATTCCATTAGAAATCATTCATCTGTGTTTTAGTGCAACTACAGAGCGATAATCTGAAAATGAACATCAGGATGTGTTTGTGGTTTGGACTTGGCTGGGTGCACCAGCATTTCATAACACGTTTATCTGTTATCAGTCGATTACACAAGTATATTGTTTATGCATTTATCATAGGAATATTATTCATAAGAAACCTAAACAGCATCGTTCATTAGGATCCTTTTGTGGCTCTTTTGAAACATCTTGTTTGGTTTCAGTCACATAAAAATGCTTAATTTGCACCTTGCTGAAGTTAAAACATATCATGATTATTGAGTACAGTAATTATGCATAAACTTAATTATGGATAGCACTCTGCATTAACATTGTGATTATGTTTGAATGTTGTTATCACTGTTTTAGATATCATTTGGTGTTATCATATGGTTTCTTTTCACCTAAAACTCTTTTATATATGCATATATATGTTAGTGCTAATATATATATATATATATTCTGGGCAATTATTAAAATGTTTAATCGCGATTAATCACATGATTTTCTGCGATTAATCGCATTGTTATGCACAAAATTCAATAATGAATTCAAACGTAGTGTATTGTGCACTTTTTTCATTTAAAAGTACTGCTAGATGAACAAAAGTGCAATAACATTTGGTTTGCAAACACTTTAAACAAATAAGGTGCTTTTTTACAGCAGTATTCCTTTTACATAGTAGCAGTTAAAATATTTCTTGTAAATCTCAAATTATAACATTAATGTAATCAAATTAAATATAAAACCAAAGCTATTTGCCACTGCCAGGGCATTAACGTTTTTATAGAAAATATTATATAGTTTGTTATAGAAACAACATTATAACAGATCATAACATTATAACAGGCGCGTTCCGAGTAGAGACCTGCACTATTGCGGGACCCAACGCAGCAGAGTTCGGGACAACACCTGATGGGCAAGTGCGGATGCGGGCAGGTAGAGACTCGTGTGTGCGGGATGCGGGAGAATAATGGTGTACTCCCACTAGGCAATCTTAACCGTGCTCGAGCGTGTCTGACCCCCAAAGCCCGGTTTGTTTGACTAGTGTGATCGCTTCGTGCCGCGGTTCGTTTAGCCGTCCATGGCTCGGTTTCAAGAGGTGGGCCAGAGCGCGGTTCAGTTGGGCTCGGGCGCGGTACGCATGTAGTCTCGGAGCGCGGAACTTCTGATACGTGCAGCATGATTGCGTGAACATTTCTGAGTGGCAAAAGTGATAGATCTGTAAAGCAATATATTGGAGGGCCGTGTATTACCGAGTCCCAAACGACTCAAAATAATAAACCACAAAGTTAACAAAACGATGCACTCCACTGTGCTGAGCGAGATCGCTTCTCTGCTGTCTTCATGTGCTATCGGAAACTTCCTATTTCCCACTTATGAAGTCGTGAGCACTGCTGCAGTCTTTGCCCTCCCCAAATGCTCTCATTGGTATCTTGAGACGCGTGATAACACCCATCCCAAGCCCGTACTGATCAACATCCCACCCCTCCTGTGACCCATGGTTTGTCTGTATGTGTATTCAGAGCCAGTGAGCAACGGACTTTCATAATAATAAAAAACTGCATTAACGCTCGATAAAATAATTGTCGCCGTTAATCAATGAATGCATTAATGTGACCATAACGCATTAACTTGCCCAGCCCTAATATATATATATATATATATATATATATAAATGATTTTAGTTTTAGTTAACAATAATAACCCTGGTGTGTCTGTTCTGTGGCTTTCATGTGTGATCATAGGGTCACTGTTGTTCATGTCTAATGTCTTTGTGACAGATATTTGGAATCGCTTTCACAAAGTTCTGCTGGTGAGGTATTCACAAGAGCTGAATGGAGTCAATGTTGTGAGTGGACCAATATTTGACAACGACTTTGATGGGAACTATGACCTTATGAACAAGGGAACCCCGTAAGTTTGCAAAATGACCCAGTGCCAGAAGAGTGTGTGAAAGATCCATTAGCTAAACAGACTACTCAAAAATCTGCCACAGACTAAACAAATCAGTAGAACAGTAATATTGTGAAATATTATTACAATTTAATACAACTGTCTTCTGTCGGTCACTATGAGTTATGTTGTGACAGCATTAGGGGTGGTTTCACTTTATTTTGATGGTCCCTTTAACACATTCTGTTGACTATAAGTAATGTTGCACCTACATGTCTACTAACTTTAGTATTAGTAGAGTATTAGTAGACTGTTAGGGTTAGAATAAGTTGACATGTACTTGCAAAGTCACTTATAGTCAGTAGAATGTCTGTTGGGAGACCATGATAATAAAGAGTTAGCAGATATTAAGCAGTCTACTAATACTCTGATGAGAGTTAGTAGACATGTAGGTGCAACATTACTTATTGTCAACAGAATGTTCAAAAGGGACCATCAAAATAAAGTGTTACCTTAGGGGTAGGGCTGCACGATAAATCGCATGCGATATTTAACACGCATCTTATCAGTAAAGCCGGTAAATCTCACTGACGAGCTGCGCAAAAAATCGTGCAAATATGAACGTGGATTTGCGCAGCTCGTCAGTGAACAGCGCAAACAGCAGTGTTCCTGAGTTAGCAGGTCCCCTGGGTGCTTCAACTAAAAAGAGCAGTTCCTCTAAAATAGCAAATCACAGACGGTCTGCATTTTTTTAAAGACGCCACTCTATCTGTGTCCTCTTTGTTGCGGTCTTTTCCTATCCTCTGGTGACCACCACGAGATGAGAGGCATTGACAAAGTACACTTTCTTGATGTTCCCGTCTCCCAGGCTGGCCTTTCCGGCGACACTTTTTTGGACACTTTGCCCAACAGTTATCGGCAGTACAAAAGCAGACTGAGGCCATCCAGCACATCCTGCCCCAACATGATCCTCCTCCTCCATTCCGCTAAGCTGCTCATGTCCTCAAGGAAGCGCCACTCCTTCACCTGGAGGAGGCCAGTCCTGGATCTGCGAGTCTTGAATCACTCTTCACAAGCTTCTGTTCAAGATGTTGACGCAGAAGCGCATCCTCAGATGCATCCAATCCCAGGATTGGTTTGCAGCGGTCGACCTGAAGGATGCGTACTTTCATGTCTTGATTCTCCCTCAACACAGACACTATCACTCAAGCCAGAGCCCCCTCAACCAGGTGAGCTTATGTGGAGTCTGTTCACGGACTGGTGTTTTTCTCGCTGATAAGACCCCTGAAGATGCCCAATCGGAGTCGTGCTTTCTTTCCTGCACCGTCTGTCACCCTCCACCTTGAAAAGTGTATTGTGCTGCTGTTGCAGCACATCACAGTGAGTGGACGACCGGTCCCTGGGGAAGCATGACCTGGTCATTAGGTTCCTGAGGGGTGCTAGGCAATTGAACTCTCCTAGGTCACCACTCGTGCCCTCCTGGTGTCTCTCTCTTGTCCTTGCTGGACTTCAGAAAGATCCCTTTGAGCCTCTTGAGTCAGTTGAGCTTAAGTTCCTGTCTCTTAAGACAGCACTCCTGACTGCGCTCACTTCCAACAAGAAGATAGGGTACCTACAAGCATTTTTGGTGAGCGAAGAGTGCCTTGTATTTGGGCCGGCCTACTCTCACGTTGTCCTGAGACCCTGGCCTGGATATGTGCCCAAGGTTCCCACCACTCCCTTCCGGGTCCAAGTGGTGAACCTGTAAGCGCTGCCCCCTGTAGGAGCCTTGCATATATACGTGGACCGCACCTGGAGTTTCAGAACCTTCACCTTTGTGAGGTTTTAGGGCCAGCCCCTGTACTGGGCTAGGTGTCCCATCTGTGTGATTCCCTGTGGGTAATCCCAGATGTGTATTCTTCCACGGTAAGGTTTCCCTCATGGTAAACTCGTGTCCACCCCTGTAGAGATTCCACTCCGTCCATCTCTCTTGGTAGTATAGCTCCATCCCTACTTCCAGGTAGGACCTCAGAGACTAATTCCATATGTAGTACTGCCTCCCTGGGGTCAGTCAATATTTGTATCTCCACATATCACCTTCCTATGGCTAGGATGTTGCCTCCGTAGTGGCCTTATCCCTTAGACTGAGGCACTCTTCCCCAACGATTTAATTTAGCCTTGCTGAACATTTTTTTGGAAAAAGATCTGAAGCAAATCTTTTTTCCAGAAGTTGAAATTCCTTCTGTTAAAGAATTTCTGTGGGCGGAACAGCCGCATGGGCTTCTCCAGCAGCAATGTACTCACCATTGGCCCCTCTCGGCATGAAGGTCAGTGAATTTGCTCTGGGGCGTTTGGAAGGTTACAACTTCTGTGTAGCATTTGCTTGACACTCCTCAGCCTGTCAACATTTGCAGTGCCACAGGTTGTAACAGCGTTCAGTGGTTGTGGTGCTTTCCATAGACCCCTAATGTCGTCACGACATAACTCGTAGTGACCGACAGATAGATGTATGTAACCGTCGTTCCCTGAAGGAGGGAACGGAGACGATATGTCCCCATGCCATATCCCTGAACCACTTGCTGATGCCGGGACATAGTCTCGGCTCCTCAGCATAAAATCGGAATGAGTGGATGCACGCTGTTGCCTTATATATCCGCATGTACGGGGAGTGGCTCGGCATGCAAAATCCACTAGCCAATTCTCATTGGCATTTTCTCTTAAAATTAGAGGATATTGGGGCTCCCAAGTAAACCCCTAATGTCGTCACGACATAACGTAACGAGGGTTACGTACGTAACCGAGACATTTTGTAACATTATAATGGTATATCACTTTTGATCAATTTAATCCATCCTTGCAAAATAAAAGAACGGAAGCCCTATGAGGCCATGGATTATTTTATTTTTTATTTTCTGTTTATTCGTGATCACGATTTTATCATGATCTCGTTTTCGTTACCACTACTTAATTTTCTCGTGATCTCGACATAACAATTGTTGTTTTCTCGTTATCAGAACTTAATTTTCTTGTGATCTCGAAATAACAAAAGGTGTTTTTTTTACAGTGATTGTTTGATTCTGAGAAACAATGCACCTGGAGTCTACTGTTGCTATAGTAACGAGAAAATATTGGTCGAGATAATGAGAAAACAACTTTTGTTATGTCAAGTTTATGGGAAAATGTATGTTGTGATCACAAGAAAACATAATAATGATAATAGAAAAATTATAATAATAATAATAATCCATGGTCTCTTAGGACTTTCATATGGGGAGAGTGGGGTAAGTTGAACCACCCCCTGTATCTTGGCAACTGTACAGTTTTACTGTCATGTGACCTTGTATTTTGGAACCACTCATCATTTCTGCCAGACTGTGAAAAGGAGAAGCACATGATAGGAGTGGAAGGCACCCATTTACTTTACAAACTGTTTTTGGCTTGTCAAAGTAAAATTTTAGCATGACAGATGTAATGGTTGTTACGTCAAAGCAAATTTATCCAAGTCTAAAAAATTATTATTTTGCATAAAGGTGATTTAGCAACATATAAAACCATGCAAATCATTTAGCTAAATATTAGCCTGATTTGGTAAGATAGCTTTTTTTTTTTTTTTACAAAATGTGAGCCAAATGCTGTTGGGTAAATTGTGCCATTTTAACTTACCCCACCATAAAACACTGAATTTAAGGTAAATCTCTGAAGTATAAGCTGGTATTTTAATGTGATATTATGCAACTGGTTTAGTTTATCATATAAGTACTTTTTTTGTAGTTTATTTGATAGGGACTGTATACAAGTTCACCAAATCCTTCTCTGATAAGAACTAAAAAGATGCTTTTCATCACATTATAATCATTTATACTTTTCAACCTGTAGTCCTTAATGGCCTGTTCGACATTGCAGAAAACCTACCATGTCAAGAATATTTTTAATAAAATATTTGCATCTTACCCACTGACTCAGGTCAGCTTACCCCTAACCTGGGGCAAATTGAGCCACGGGAACACATTTTTATAAACCATATTTTTAGAACCCTTTGTTATAGATACATTTTGATAATTTAAAATGATAGGAAACATCCTGAAATTACTTTAGCTTATTTCATTGAACTTCTGCCTCATTTTCCCTTAGGTGTGATGAAAAGCATCTTTTTAGGACCACATAAGTTAAAAATGTCTCGTCTTACCCCACTCTCCCCTACTAATTTCTTTAAAAAAAAAACTTAACTATCAATGTATTTCAGATTTAATTTTCCTTAAATGCCACTTTAAAATCAAAACAAACTGTGGTTGGTCACTTTACATGTTGGTCAGATGGTGTCCTGTCTAAAGGCTGGAATACACTACACAACTCTTAAAATCTAAACAGATTTTAAATCACTAGACATTATACACTTAATGACTTTGTAATAGTCACAGAGGAAAAACTGACCATCATACACTAAACGACTGAGGATCTTACACTATGTGTAAAAAACACCAAAGTGGACCAGAATTTATGCTTAAGTCAAATATGTGACTATATGAGGCAAAACATCTTTTATTAGGCCAAATGCACCTTTACTATTAGATCCATAGGTAGTTCACATACTGCCCACTGCTGGCCAAACACTGCCAAAATGTGTTTCATAATGTATTAGACTGAATTATTTCCTCATAAAGATGATTATCTTCTGCTTTCAGGAACGAGGCTCCCATCCCTACACATTTCTTTGTGATTCTTACAAGTTGTAAGAACTCATCCCTTCCCGTCCAACAGTGTGACGGTCCTCTAGATGCTGTGTCTTTCGTTCTTCCTCACCGGCCTGATCGTCTGGAAACATGTCATGTATGTAATCAGCCGCTCACCATCTAAACCACAGCGACCATAAGACTGTACAGAGGAAGTAGCGGAGTAACTTGCTCGTTGGGTAACTTGTTAACCACTTAAAAAAGTTAACTACAAAATGAAACTAGTTAACAAACATTTGTCAGTACATTTCAACCATATTCAAAGACGATAGAACTAAATATGAAATTATATTGAAAGATGTACTTAAGTCCTATTTAAGTGGGTCACTCTAAATTTCAACTAGTTTAATTGAATGTAGATTTAAACTGTAATGCATTTTAATTAATTGCAGTTCAAATGCAGTGAAGTGGCTGAAAACATTATAATATAATGTATAATGCAAATATAATGCAAATATATTATTTCCTTAAAGGAACACTCCACTATTTTTGAAAATAGGCTAATTTTCCAACTCCCCTAGTTTTCGAATCCATTCAGCCGATCTCCGGGTCTGGCGGTAGCACTTTTAGCTGTAGCTTAGCATAGATCATTGAATTGATTAGACCGTTAGCATCTCGCTCAAAAATGACCAAAGAGTTTCTATATTTTTCCTATTTAAAACTTGACTCTTCTGTAGTTACATCGTGTACTAAGACCGACGGAAAATTAAAAGTTGTGATTTTCTAGGCCGATATGGCTAGGAACTCTCATTCCGGCATAATAATCAAGGAACTTTGCTGCCGTACCATGGGTGCAGCAGGTGCAATGATATTACGCAGCACCTGAAAATAGGCTAACTTCCGTCAACATAACCAACTCCACAAACTTAGTGCCGGTCACGTTGGAAGTTACCTAGCTGAGGACTATTTTCATTTTTGAGCAAGATGCTAACGGTCTAATCAGATTCAATGATCTATGCTAAGCTACAGCCAAAAATCCTACCGCCAGACCCGGAGATCGGCTGAATGGATTCGAAAACGGTAAAACTCAACTAAATGAGCCTATTTTCAAAAATAATGGAGTGTTCCTTTAAGTACTCTTAAAAGAATGCTAAAGTGTACTTTAGGGAAGCATAATATGGAATAAGGTATTGAAAAAAATAATAATGAGATGAATCAAATATGGTTATTAAAGAAGAGGAATAGTTCAGTCACTGACGTAACGTTGAACGTGACTGACTGAATGGGAACCATGGTTACATAAGTAACCCGAGATGTTTCTCTCTCATATCTCATTATGCATTTCTTTTTTTACACATCTTTTTTGTTTTATCATTTATTTCTCCAGAATGGCTCAGACTACTCTTGGCTCCAGGACTGGGTTCAGCTTCACGTGGCACGAATCAGAGACATTGAGCTTCTGACGGGCTTGAGTTTTTACCATGACCGGATATCTGTTACTGAAATGTTACAACTCAAGACCACACTCAAAACTTTCTAGAAACATTTGTGATCTTAGATCTAATTTCACTGTGTCTGCAGGCCACAAACGACACGTTCAGAATGGAATGGATCTCTTCACCATTGAAACGCAGCTGAGCTTTACCAGACTCTGAAACAAAGACGCAAGTTCGTCCAGAGTCTTTTAGAGTCTTTGAACGCCTAAAATGGGGAAATACAATGTTTTATTATCTCTGCTTTTAATGAAATCTTTATTCACAGAGGCGAGCTATTTATAACTGGGGAAGTATCAACTGTATCAGAAACTGGCCCAGCAATCCTTGAATAAATAAAATTCAGTTTTTCCCAAAAAAAATGTTTTTCAGCGCACACATATGTTAAGGATTTAACTGTGGTTGGACTTGGTCCTGCATATTCAGCCTTCCAGCCAAAAAGAAAAAGTATCCAAAAATGAAACTGCATCAAGAGCTTTTGTGCAAACACCTTGAAAACCACATTTTCCACAGGAGTCACTTTCAAAATGTTACTTGCTATGCGTCGTTTTATTAAATTGTTCTACAACAAATGAAAACAAATGCTCTTTCCAGCAGTTTGTAGCATGCACAGCCAATTCATGATTTATTTACTCCAGTATAATAGTGGTTTGTACTGCCCCTTCAGGCCAGAATGCAGCATTACATCAAACAATAGAAGAAAAACTCCTCACTGTGCATCTTTTTCTGGAGTTTTAATGGATTCACTCTCTCGGGTCAATTTTGATATCAATAAATTTGCATCAACATTCTTTATTACATTTGTATGCTACTTTTGTTTTTCAAAGTTTATATTGTGTAAGCAGAGATGAGATTGTACTGTTGATGTTTGAATAAACACATAAATAAATATTTAATATTTGTGTGTGTGTTTTGTTTGAGTATTTTGTTATGGTTCAATACAATTATTAGATTTTTATTTTTTTTGTCTAGACCTATTTATCACAAAAATTCAAAAGAAAATAGAGGTTAGGAAGTTTTTATTTATTTATTTTTTGACAAAAAGTGACAAAACATTCCAAATAAATTTCCTATTAAATTAAATTAATTAAAGAATCCTGAAGAAGGAAAACAATGCAACAAAACTATTTTCCACCTTAATAGCAATAAGAAAAGTTTGTTGAGCACCAAGCCAGCACTGCTTTCTGAAGGATCATGTGTAATATTTCACAAAAATTGTTTTTATTTATTTATCTGTTTGTTTGTTTTCTTTCTTTTTTTAAAATAAATGCAACCTTGGTTAGCACAGGAGACTTAAAATCCAGAATTTAAACAGTAGTGTATATATTTTTATTAACATCTGTGATAATAAAATATAAACATATTTATATGGATATAACATCTTAAAATCATGAAGAAGAGTCTTACTAAAAGGCTGAAAGTATTTAATATAATATTTTATTACTGTGTTTTAAGCAATTTAATTAATGAAGCGGTTTTGTTTTGAAATATTCATATTTCAAACCTTGTTCAACATCAAAGTTATTTGTGGTATGAATTAGGAAACAATTTTGCTGTCACGTGACAAGAAAACCATAAAACAGGAAATGAAATCAGAAAGGACCCCTTGTAGACCTTCATGACTGTTTCAAGGTAAAAAATCTGATCATTTTATCTCCTTATGATATTGCATGTGTTACAATATGTTTAAAAACCATACTGATGAAGATGTGTACACTCACATTACATGCATTTCAAGTTAAAGAAAAAAAAAAGCATGTTAGAAAATCTAAATGAAAAGTTTTCTTCCGTAATCATAATCTGTATTATTATTTAATTAATAGTGAATCTTTAAACTTTCTCTTTACAGATGCTTGAGATAGGAACAAACTGCTTTTGTATATTGAACTAATCATACTGATCTTCTGGTTTTGTTCAGTTTCACAGACCTGTGTCATCATCGTGTGAACAGGAAGGATGTGGAAAATGACGAACAACTCCTTCTCTTTATATAGAGTTGAGATTGCAGGTCTCTGAGCTGTCAACTCACTTCACTTCACATCACATCAGACTGGCTGGAAGGTAAGTGCATGCAATATTTTATCACGACAACACATCAATGTAGCAATTATTATTATAAGCAGTCATCAAAACTACAACATTTGGATGGGGTAAAGTTTATTAGCAGCAAAGTATGTCATGTTTTACAGAAATAAATCAATGTCAGTAAACTTTTATACTTGCAAGACCTAGATATTGTTGCTGTTTTAGTTCTTCGCATTTGTCACTGATTACTTAACACTTAAAAGTCCAAATAACAGTCAATGCTTTTAACCAATACAGGCTTTGAATGTTTTGGTGGTTTGTTTGTTTTTAGGGCTGTCAATGTTAATGTGCGCAAAGACAGTTGTGAAATATGTTCAAAACCAAAATTTGATTCATTTCATTCCGCTTTCTAAAGATTATTCAGAAGATCGTGAGATTAGTTGATTCTAATATTGCAATAGTACAATACATTTTGCTCTTTATTTATTCTAATGACAGCTTGACAGTAATTTTTTTTTTCATATTTACAAAAATCCCTCTATATGGTATAGAATCACAAATGTTAGTGACGTCCCTGCTAGAGAGAGGTTTTAAGTGGAGGATGCATGCCGCTGAAAAACTGAAAGAAAGAACCAGTCACTGCAGATGAGTTTAGTATTTGTGTTTAACAATTCAAACATATACATGTCTCAAAAAAAAAAAGAATGTCAAGCAGGCCCTCTGACTGAAAACATCTGATCTATGGGTACCTGATTGTCATCTCTTCTCACAGCTACGTATATAATAGATACGTGTGGCTTTTATTAGATAAACCTTTCCTGGAAGTAGCTCTTGCAGCAAAAGCCCCTCGCAGTGAGCTGTCAGGGCCAGATGTTGTGGGTTCCCGCAAAACCCCATCATTGCATGACAAGCGCAGTTCACCAGATATGAGTTCACTGGAGAGACTTCACGTAAATGAACTCATGAAGAACGTGGGAAATGACAGCAGACTCTTCCCACAGTTCCGTGTAGGTCTGTAGACTCTGTAGGTTCAATGCGGCTGTAGGTAATCTCGCACATCGTCAGAATGATATCACTACCTGCATGCATTCGTTATGCATGTTGATAATATTTTCTGATGCGTTTTAACTAGGAATGTAAATCTATGAAATATTTTAGTGCAATTACATGTTTTGATTAGTGCTGTCAAACGATTAATCGCGATTAATCACATCCAAAATAAAAGTTTTTGTTTGCATAAAATATGTATTTTATGTATATTTATTATGCATATATAAATACACACACATGCAGTATATATATTGAAAATATTTATATGTCTATATTTATATTCATAGAATTGATATTATAAATAAATATATTTAATATATGAACATAACATATTTTTCTGAAATATATACATGCGTGTGTGTGTATTTATATATACAAAATAAATATACACAGTACACACACATATATTATGGAAACAAATCTTTTATTTTGGATGCGATTAATCGGGATTAATCGTTTGACAGCACTAGTTTTGATATCATTTTGAATTAATATCTCAAACAATGTTTGCTGAGAAAACCCCCCCCAATGAAGATAATTTAAGATTTTGTTGTTGCAGACTATTAAATAGATGTTAAAAAGTGAAAAGTGGCTTTTTTTTTCAGTTTCAGTTTGTCCATCATAGGTAAACCTTCATACTGAATGCTTTCCACCTGCGCAATTTTTGAATTGTTGGTCTGTGTGCGCAAATAGGTGTTTATTTTCAAGGAATATATTTTTTAATGGTGTGGCAAATTAAAACACCTTCACTGTTAAAAAGACATCATGTGTTCGGTTTCACTCGGTCTAGCTACTTTTGAACTTACTCTGTACTGCTTGTTCATGATGTGGTTTGGTGGGCCATGTGGTCAGAGTTTCTCAGTTATAAGAAGAGGTGAAGGCAACATTGCCATGAAAAAGCATGAATGCATGTCTGCTTGGATCACAGGCGCCTCGTATTTAAGTAAAGCTGCTGGGAATCTCAAACTCAAAATTATGAAACGTATTCATTTATTTTGGTTATTTTTACATGGTACCACAAAACTACATCTGAATTCAAAATGATGTAAAGTATTACTGTGAAAAAATTGAGTATTGAAAGTTAAAACCATTCACTCCAGACTTGATTCCGCTCACTGATTTCTAGATTTAGATTATAATCAGGGGTCTCCAAACTCGGTCCTGGAGGGCCGGTGTCCTGCACAGTGTTGGGCAAGTTACTCTGAAAATGTAATCAAATTACTGATTGCCCCTTTTAAAAGTAATCACATTACTGTTCTGATTTCTTTATTTCAAAAGTAATTAGTTACATTACTAGTTACGTTACTTTTTTCTCCATTCAATTTATGAAATCCCAGCATACACGCTCCCGATATATATTTGTTATTAAAGCATCGACATTCACAGAACACTGTTATTTTTAACTAAACAAGCCGCTGCTGCGTGCATGGTTTTAGCAAAGAGCGCTGCATTTACAATCTCTAAAAGACATCTCAGTTCATCGCATATGACACAATAAATATATGCATAATGAATCTTTCATAATGTCTTCATTTCGTGTGTTATAATGAGAGGATTCATGAGCACGCAAATTTCAGCACTGCATTGCTCAACGCTGCAAACACGTGTTATAGCCTAAATAGAAGCTCTGCATACGCTTGCACCTGTTAATCGTTTATATTTAATATTAGTTCATGTTGCTTTTGTGCAATAGATGAAGAACAATTTATTTGTTTTAGATATTTTATGTTTAGATATTACTATTTTGCTATTTTGCATTCTGTCAGCAATGTAACGCGGCAGTAACATATAGAGAATTCGGCTCGTAACTATACTCTAATTACTATTTTGAAAATTATAACGCGTTAAATTACTCAGTTACTAAAAAAGTAATCAAATCATAACGCAGTAATGCGTTACTGCCCAACACTGGTCCTGCAGAGTTTAGCTCCAACTTGCCTCAACACACCTGCCTGGAAGTTTCTAGTACTGTTTATCTGGTAAGAGCTTGATTAACTGGTTCAGGTGTGTTTAACTGGGCTTGGAGCTCAACTCTGCAGGACACCGGCCCTCCAGGAGCAGAACTGGACACCCCTAACCTACAGTATGTTATATTTAATCTATAGTCGACTAAAAATCATTGTTTCTGCCATGTTTCAAATCTACCGTCAATGTCACAACTTGGTAGTTTCGTTTGGTAGCAGCTGGGGCTGCGCTGACTTTGAGCTGACAAAAACATGCCTTATAATCATTTGTTTTATATAAACATTTATTTGACTAAGTGTACACTTTATTTTTT